TACCCTGCGAGAATCCTGAAGCACAACGGCCAGGCAGCTAAAAATACTAGACGATGAAGCACAACGGCCATCGCCGCAGAAAAGCTAGAGCCGAAACCCCACGGGCAAATTAATCAACGGCTCATAAGTAGAACAATGATGGAGCATATCTGATGAACCCCGCGAGCCAAGACCTAAACCCTGCAACAAAAGAACACGGAAAAAGCTAGAACTTTGATGTGGCCATTTGCTAGCTAGGATCTGAAGCTTCAAGCTGTGGACACTCGGCACAGAGGGCGGCGCCACTACTGAGATCGAACTTTTTTAAAGTGAGGCGGCCCGCGAATAATCACTGAAATATCTTCAGATACATCGTCGCATTGGTGGAGCTACTCTATACTAAGGTCAGCTTGCTCCCATTTGTTTCTTGAAGGTCTGCGTCCTTGATCCGTTTAACACTTGGTCTGCGTCCTTGATCCCTGTTTTTCTTTTAGCATGGCAACTAGATTTCCATGATCAATAGGATGCGTGCAAGATCATCGGAAGGACGAATCTTCTTCAAAGGGTCTGCATGCTCACTGGGAGTTCCGACTTGACCAACTCGGTCGAACAGACAAAACCCGTGACTTTTAATATCCACAATATCTGAAAGGAATTTGGTATGATTGAGTACCATCTTCGTTCTCGGACTTGAAGCAGGCTTGTTTCGCGAGTCCTCTGCCTTTCGTAGCTAGTCTCGCGAATAATTGCTCGTCCCCGTAGGTATGAGGGGCGAAACGACCTCTCAAAACAAGCTGCTGGGATCTTTTTTCATCTCGGCTGACGCATGGTGGAGAGCCCTGCGGTCCTGCCGAACCGCCGCACGCACAATCTCGGGGTCGCTTCTCAACGCGTCACTGGCATATCGCAGCACATTGCCGTCCTGCCGTACAGCCTCAAGCACAATCTCGCGGTCACCTTTCAGCGCGTGCGTCGCATAGCACAGCGCGGCGCCGTCGTTCCGTACAGTCTCGAGCACAATCTCTCGTGGCGCATATTTCACCAGAGACGAGTCCGTCCGTACAGCCACGAGTAGAATCTCTCGATCGCGTTGCATCAATGGACCGCCAAAGAAAAAAGCCGGCGGGGTTCTTTTCACGATCTCTTTGAGCTTCGTTTTCGTGTGTACCTGGCGAAGGGCTTGACTCAAATTCCTGAACCTCGCGAGATCGACACGCGTCCGCGTGTCCGGGCGGGGCAGATATCGATTCTCCTGACGCGTCAACGTCTCGACCGTGTCGAACGCCTCCTCATCGTCAGCAACTATGATCATGCATGAAGATACCTGAGCTGGAAAATGTACACCAAAAAAGGAAGCCATCCTCTCCAGCTTGTAGTAGGTCATCAAGTCAGAAACTCTGAAAACATCGTTTCCCACAAGTAGCTTCACCGCCTCTGGTTCTACCAAGTGATCGGGCTTCATCGACTCCGCGACCTTTCGGTAGACAACCTTTGCGAAGTGCGAGACCTTGGCATTCGCGACGCCAGAGGGCAAGTCCCTCTCGGTCACATCAATCCACCCTTCTCCCGACAAACGGGTGCACTTGATCGGAAACAGCAAATGTTTTCTTGAGTCTTCCTCATCTGGCGTCGAACCTACTCCTGCCGCTAGGAAAGGAGCAGCACCTGGTGCAGTTCCAGTTGCAGAACGCTTCATTTGTACCGCACTAACGCACAGTGGCAGTGCTGTCAGCAGAGAGAAAAGGACTACGGTACGAGCTGGCGCCATCTTAATGTATGTGTATGTGTAAGAAGATGCCCAAGACTGTCCTCTATTTGATGAAAAATTAAATGCTTTCTGTAGTTCCTACTGTGCTCAAAATGCTATGAAGAACAAGCTGAAGAATGCTAAACGATGACAACCTCTATTTTTGTATTTCAGGAAATTCAAATTCTACTATCTTGAAACTAGTACTAGAAATTGATCAAATTTTTGTTCTACTTAAGTCAACACGGGAGTGGACACTCAGATGCTACAACCTTTGTGAGAGTATTGAACGAAAACATACGCAATGCTGAAGCACATTGAATAAAAATTCGGTCTGATTGCTGATGGCTTTTGTTGTTGCAGGAGTCAGATCTACTGTTTTTCGAGTTCGACTCTTCTATTCAACTTCCTACAATTCTACTCCGGTGACTCACAAAGAAAGACATCTCCAGAAAAATTCATCAAGTGTGATAGTGATCTGATTGTTGGAGCCAACAACTACAACTTCAGATAGCTATCTCCATTTTTTCTATGGTATAATAGTGGTGGAGCCAGCCTAAGTAGGAAAAAATTAAAGCTTAATCTATAAAAATGTTGATCGTGATCGTTTTTGTATTCTCAGCTCTTCAATCCAGTATAGTGATGATCGTGATCTTCGTTTTCAGCTCAATCCAGTATAGTGATGATCTTGTTTTTCAGCTTGATCCATAGTCGTGATGATCCTGTTTTAGAGGTGATCCCGTCATCTTGTTTCAGCTCTATTTTTCAAGCGAGCTTTCAGTTCAGCAGGTCCCCGTCTATTCTACCGGAACCGGAAGACAGACCTTGACAAATTGTTCATGGAGGTTCTCCTACCAAAAGTAGCCTGCTCCTCAACCGGATACAAATGATTGTGGATCCTTCAATTCAGAGGACCATCGTTATCGTTAAGGTTAACATGCTTAGACGAGTTAGACGACCAAAGTAGGTGCTCACCAGCGCCATACATCTGAGTACAAAGATGGGACCCAAGTCTTAACCTTATTTTTATTGAAAGTGGTAAACCCAGGCGGTAAGTGATCTCATGGTATTCTTGTTGTACTAGACGTTGAACTTCAGAAGAAAGCACCCTTATATCGCAACTTCCCTGTAGTATTTTCTTGTGGGTGAGTACAATGGCACGCCTCATGCCCTTGGGGTGGATAGTGTACTTACCTCCTTACTCGTATGCATCATGATGATCATCTCAATTGTTCCGTGTTCAGGAGAACCAAGTAGCGGTTGCTCTGAAGGAAGCTTACTTGTCATGTCATGTGTCTCATGTGTGATCTACCAAGTCACGGTCGAGACTCGACCCCAGAGGACGATCTCGAAAGAGTCCAAAGAGGCTAGTTCTAACGTCCTACGCCGGAATTGAGCATAGTTTTGACTTCAGACCAAGATCGAAAAAATACAGTGACGCAGGATCGCAGCAAAGAAGGATCGAGCACACTGACACTATACGCCGAGCAGTCGAGACTACAAATAAAAACAACGCAACTAGAAACCAAGGACAAATGTCACGAGCAGATAAAAATTTACGACCGGTGGGCTTACCTGAGCCAGCCATGATACCTGATTTTTTTTACCATGCAGCTCTTTCGTAGTAGTAGTCGGATCATTCCCAGAGGCGGTTCAAGGTACTTCGATCTTTTTAGGTCAACAACGAGGTGACATCTGTTTTCTACTTCCCGTAGCCAAATGGTGAACATCTACCTAGCTCAAATTCAAAAAACGGGGTTTTTGAAAGTGATGATGATGGGGTCATTTCTCAACTAGGCTGACGCATATTGCAGAGCCATGCCTTCGTTCATCCGTAAAGCTCGCGCCAAAAATTCCGATTATTTTTCAACGCGTCACACGCATATTCCAGCGCCTCGTCGTTTTCCCTTACAGCCGCGAGCACAATCTCGAGGTTACCTTTCAACACATCAGCCGCATATTGCAGCGCCCTGCCGTCGTTCCGTACAGCCTCAAGTACAATCTCGCGGTTATCTTTCAACACATCAGCCGCATATTGCAGCGCCCTGCCGTCGTTCCGTACAGCCTCAAGTACAATCTCGGGGTTACTTTTCAACGCGTCATCGGCAAACTGCAGCACCAAGCCACTTCGCCGCACAGCCTCAAGCACAATCTCGGGGTCACTTTTCAAAGCATCATCCGCATATTGAAGAGCCAAGCCATCTCGCCGTACACCCTCAAGCACAATCTCGCGGTCACCTTTCAACACATCATCCGCATATTGCAGCGCCCTGCCGTCGTTCCGCACAGCCTCAAGTACAATCTTGCGGTCACCTTTCAACACCTTAGCCGCATATTGCAGCAACGAGCCATCCTGCCGTACAGCCTCAAGTACAATCGCGCGGTCATTTTGCAGCTCAGGTCCCGCATATTGCCGCGCGCGGTAGTTCTGCCGTACTGCCTCAAGCACAATCTCGCGGTCACCTTTCAACACATCATCCGCATATTTCAGCGCCCTGCCGTCGTTCCGTAAAGCCTCAAGCACAATCTCGCGGTCACCTTTCAGCTCGGGCGTCGCATTTCTCAGATTGGCGCCGTCGATCCGTACAGCTTCGAGCACAATCTCTCGTGGCGCAAATTCCAGCAGACTCCGCCCGAACAGAGTCTCCTGATATACAGCCTTGTGTAATGTCTCTCGAAGATAATCGCGTTGCATCAATGGACCGCCAAAATAAATAACCGAAGGGGCTTCTTCAACGATATCCTTGAGCTTCGTTTTCGTGTGTACCTGGCGAAGCGTTTCGCGCAAGATCTCAACGCTGTCCCTAGCGGGGTTGCTGTAAAGCCGAGCTAGATTCGTGTTCTTCATGAACGTCCTGACACTTTCGAACGCGTCCTCGTCGTCAGCAACAATGATCATGCATGAAGATTCCTGTCCTGCAAAACGTTCACCAAAAAACGGAGTCATCTTCTGCTCGGACATAGTCATCAACTTAGCGACTTCGAAATTATCGTTTCCCACAAGTAGCTTCACCGCCTCTGGTTCTACCAAGTGATCGGACTTCATCGACTCCGCGACCTTTCGGTAGACAGCCTCTGCGAACTCCGCGACCGTCCCGTTCGCGACGCAAAACGACTCCGCCTCGGTCCTCACATCAATCAACGTTTCTCCCGAAAAACGGGTGCGCTTGGTCGGAAACAGCGAGTTTGTGCTGGAGTCTCTATTCGACGTCGAGCCTCCTCCTGAAGCATGGGAAGAAGAAGCACCTCCAGTTGCAGAACGCTTGATGTGTACAGTACTAACGCACAGTGCTGGTAATGCTGCCAGCAGAGAGAAAAGGACTACGGTACGAGCTGGCGCCATCTTAATGAAAAATTAAATGCTATGAAGAACAAGCTGAAGAATACCAAACGATGAAAACCTCTATTTTTGTATTTCAAGAAATTCAAACTCATCTACTATCTTGAAACTAGTACTAAAAATTGATGAAATTTTTGTTCTACTTAAGTCAACACGGGAGTGGACACTCAGATGCTACAACCTTTGTGAGAGTATTGAACGAACAAAACATACGCAATGCTGAAGCACATCGAATAAAAATTCGGTCTGATTGCTGATGGCTTGTGTTGTTGCAGGAGTCAGATCTACTGTTTTTCGACTCTTCTATTCAACTTCCTACAATTCTACTCCGGTGACTCACAAAGAAGGACATCTCCAGAAAAATTCACCAAATGTGATAGTGATCTGATTGTTGGAGCCAACAACTTCATATACTACCTATCTCTTTTTTTCCGGGTTGTTCTATGATAGTGGTGGAGCCAGCCTAAGTAGGAAAAAATTAAAGCTGGATCTATAATGTTGATCGTGATCTTCGTTTTCAGCTCAATCCAGTATAGTGATGATCTTGTTTTTCAGCTTGATCCATAGTCGTGATGATCTTGTTTTATAGGTGATCCCGTCTTGTTTCAGCTCTATTTTTCAAGCCATCTTTCAGTTCAGCAGGTCCCCGTCTATTCTACCGGCACCAGAAGACAGACCTTGACAAATTAATTGTTCATGGAGGTTCTCATAGCAAAAGTAACCTGCTCGTCATCGTTAACATGCTTAGACGAGTTAGAATACGACCATAGTAGGTGGTCAGCAGCAACGTCACGAACAGTGCGTTAAGACATTATGAGTTTCCTACTCAACATTATGAAGGTGGCACGTGGCTCCGACAATCCCGCCCTCCTCGCCCTCTATCCCTCTTCTAACGTCATGCGTTTGTTCCGTGTTCATCATCTCAATTGTTCCGTGTTCAGGAGAACCAACTAGAGATCATTAGTAGTTCCTTGGATACAGTCACATCATTAGACAAGGACAACTAATTCTACTGTAATATTAGTTCTTTACGAGCTCATGGTCGAGCATGGTGGTCGTGACCTCCTTAGTTATAATCCTCATGATGCTCATCTCCATCCCAGGTCTAACAAGATCTCCTTACTTCTATTAATAGTGCGCGGTGGAGCCAACCCAACTAGGAAATGAACAAAAAAGAGGAAAAACACCAAAGTGTGAACTTAGAGGTCATCATCCACCGCAAGAATATTTCTCCACTTTGTGCTGCTCATCTCCATCACTCGTAATGCTCACCTCCGTCACCTCTTCCAGTGTTGTCACAAATGCCAGATGATCCAAATAAAGCAGCAGCCATCGAATCGCGTTTGGACTGTCCTCTCCTTTTCCCTTCGTCCATTCCGCCTTCTCTCGGATTAGATGGAGAAGTTGGAAATCATTTTTACAGTACAGAAGTTGTACCTTAAATTAAGATTAACGGCATAAAAATACGGCATTTATTTTACATTATATATATAAAACGGTATACGTACCTAGAAGGAACGAGAACGAGAGATATTGAGCGGGCTAAAAATATATACTTGATGTAGGAACCACAGCCTCGTCACACAATTTGAATTGCTCCGAAATGAATGTAAAATTAGGGTTTAGGCACTCCGAAATGAATGTAAAATTAGAGGCCGTAACTCTAATATAGCCTCCTACCGCCCCTAACCGCACCGCATCAAAGGTACGGTCTCTCTTGGTGTACTGCCTCATCACCCCACCTTTGGAGTAGACCATGTTTTTCCGCAACAGGTCAGCTATTTCCTCTTCAGAGGTAAGCTCCCTCTTCGTCACTCCTGGCCACAGGTTTACGAAGGCGGTGATTCGGTGAACTTCCACACTCTCTGGACTGGGAAGGTCTGGTCCAAGGCGCGCTAGGTCCCTCACTTCGCCTAGAATTCTCCGAGTTAACTCGGGAATTAGAAGAGGACTACTAGGACTACATTGCAGCTTGTTCTACTTCTCACCCTTAGCGCAGCAGCTATGTACTTACTATATTGAAGCAGCTATGTATATTTCCACGACCTTGTGTTGATCACATAATGATCCATGAAGTATCTGTATCATGCTCATGATCCACAACTAAATAGCAAGAACTCGTGGTCAATCTTTTGGTCGTTGTACTTAGAAAAAATACAACTCGTTCCCTTTCATAATATCATCATGCGAAACCCATTCGGTTTATTCCCTTTCCGCTGTCTTTCGAACTCTCGATGCTGTCTCGGTACTGGATTCACGTCATTGGGGTCTCGGTAGTTCACTTCATCTGACGTTGGTGCAAAGCTTAATTGCAATTGTACTCGATGGCCATTACCAAGAAACTTGCGCAAAGACTCCAGTTTTCGTTTGAACGGTTCTCGATCAATCACGCAGGACAACCTTAAGCCTTTCACTATCCATTAGATTGATGAAGAGGTTTGTATCTTCAAAACGAATCACGACGCTAGCAGAACTAGAAGCAGAACATCTCATCAAACCTTTCACCATCGAATCACTAGGCTCAATCTCAATCAACAGAGTTGTAGTAGTAGAACTTACTCCACCACTACCTTAGTCAAACCTTTTTTACAGTAATAAATGTAGTAAATCTAAATTCATCAGTATATTAAACATGGTTTCATCTAGAAGCAGATTCACTCTCACATGATCTTCTTCTACGTTCATCAAGAAGTTCAATCTCAACTAAAAACCCAAAGTAGAAGATGACTCGGCTTAATTCAAGGAAGGGTCGAATTTGAAGCCTTCTACCGTTTGTGCGATCTTTCCACCCTTCATGGTTTGCGCCGCCGCTTCTTCTTGTAAGTGGATTAGACCTTGCAGCACAAATAGATTTATTTGGTGAATACTTGGCAGGGGCCGCCTTGTTTCCTTGAAAAAGCGGGACTGAGATGCTGGGGACGAAGACGGATTTCTTAATGTGGCTTGCGAAATGTAAAAAGTAGATCATTTTTTTATGAATAATTCATTGCGAAATACTAATAAATCTATGCCTTAAGTGGAGTAAGTGTTCGTGCAAGAAGATAATCTTTGCCAAGGGTGGGTTTGCATGCGCATCTAGCAAAACCAGATCCCGGTTCTCCTCTCTCGCTAAAGCTAGTGCACTCTCCCGATTAAAATCGCCCAAGAGTCGGCCGTCGGAGCCGATCAAACGCACATCGGAGTGCCATATCTGACCATTGGCAACAACATTCTTCTGAACGAAAAGATTATCCACAAAAGCGGCAGACGTGGACTCATTGTGTGGATGTTGCTTTTTCCATCTAGGCAGACCATCTTGGCCCTTTTTCCCCCTGAAATGAAAAATGCTGCTAGGTTGTAGGCAGAACAAGGATGGAAAAAACATCATTCATACATTGGAAATTCCCGACCCTGAAGACGGCGTCGCGTGTTCCCAAGGGTCGCGTCTGGTCACTCGTCGCTCACGAGTGCTCCCCGCGTGGGATTATTAAGGTTCTTGGTTGCAAATAACTTCTCTAATTATGCTACTTTTTAGACCTTAGTATTTTTCATCATAGAGATAGCAGGAATGGATCTCTACCGCTCTTACTCACATATATCGCGGTAGAGATCCATCCCTCTTATCTTCCTCCTTAAGCTCTTCCTTTGCTTTGCTACAAGAAGCTTACTCTTTCATAGTGACGAGTACTAGAAGCTGATGCAGCAATACATCAACTATATAGTACCATGTTGTTCAATCATGATATTGTACCATGTTCATGTTGTTCTTCTATATTTATACATATTTTACCATGTTCAATCATCATCATATTGTACCATGTTCAATCATCATATTTATGCACTGGAGGAGCTTGCGGGGGAAGTGATTATACTAACTGGTGAGTTAACTTAGGTGAGAGAAAAGATACGCTCTCTGGAAGGTTCCTGGACGACAGTCGACAAAAAATGTCGGCTGAGGGACCAACTAGGGAGAGGGTTGGGGGCAACGGGCCCCGCGAACCCCGTCGTGTGCGGTGCAAAAAATGCACTCACGCGCGACGCCGCCGGTCGATGCAATGGCGCATCTCGGCGAAGGCGAACCACGGTTCGCGCCTCCGCGGAGGCTCGGGTGCGGTCGGGTGAGAGCGTTAATGCTACACCCACGGGGCGGAGTTCACATGCAGAGCGGAGCAGAGCGGAGCGGAGCGGAGCGGGCTGCCGGCGCACGGGCCAAAGCGCTCGTGCGTAGGCCGCGGGAGGGCCAACGCGCCCTCCGGCGGTGCGGTGGGCAGGCGCGTGGCGCCCAGTGGGGGGTGCTGGGGAGCTCGTAAAAATCGAGTTCCGCCGCGCGCGCGGCGCGCCATCCCCTCGCGGGGCAAAAATCGCCGCGAGGGTTTGGCGCTTGTGGCAGCACATTTTCGTAACCTCAAGCTGAAAGCTAGCTTGGGCAGGTCAAAAAACTTTTCTTTTTCCCAAAAATCCAGGGACTTTCTGTGCGCGTATAATCGCAATCTAGAAACTAGTGACTAGTAGTGCCCCCGCACTCTGGTTTTCAGCAAAACAAAAAACAAAATGACCTCCCTGAAAAGCGTCGGAGACCTCGTCATCCACACAGGCAAAAATCCTGTGGGGAGCGAGGACGTCGACGAGAAGGGCAAAGCCCTTCTGAAACTGATCGACGGATCACTGTTTCACCCCTCCATGGCGGAGGCCATGGAGGCGCTGCAAAAGCAGCTGGAGGAGAAGACGCAGTATGAGGATAAACTCATCTTCTGCGCAAACATCCAGGACTGGATTGCAGCACTCCGACAGATGGTCGGTGAACTTCCGGAAACGGAATTCATCGACACGGTCAAAAAAGACCTGGAGGACCCGCGCTTCGTGGGGGAAGGTGGAACCCTAACCGAACAGGGCACCACCTTGATGTGGTTCCACTTGTGGTTGGGCGCATACCACGAGGAACTAACGGCCGAACCCTGGGCCTCGAAGTCTCTGATTAAAAAAGAGACTTTTGAAGCCGGCGCGAAGCTCGCCGAAAAACGAAAGTTTCGGGAGGAAAACCCGCAGCTGAACCTGGCGGAAGTCCCGGCGCAGACCGCCAAAAAGGAGGTGATAGTCCGCTACCTGATCGAGCGCACCAACAAAGAGGTGCTCAACGACTGGGACGCGAAGCCGGCCAAGACGCCGTGGACGTCGGTCCGCAAGGCGCACGAGGAGGAGGACCGAAAGCTCCTCGAAGAAGAGGAGAAGCAGCGCAAGGCGGAGCTCGAAGCCAAAAAGAAAGAGGAGGAGGACTCCGTGGACTTCGCCGACAAAAGCGAAGAGTCCTCCGAGGAGCCGCCGGAGACGGCAGCTCTGTTCAAAACGTTCGCGAAGAAGACCGCAAAGGCCATCGCAACGGCTTTGAACAGCAGCGGAGAGGACAAAATCCTCTCCTATGACGACACGCGCCCGGCTAGCGAAGGAGAAAAATTCTTCGTCTACCGACGCGTAAACGGCGTCGAGAAGAAAACAGAGGTGAAAGTCGTCTGGCCTTCCGTCTTAACTCCGGGCGAGGAAGTCGCAGACGCACAGGAGCAGTATAAAAACTGCTTCTTCACGAACGGAGAAAAAGCCTCTAAGCAGGCGAACCACGTGCTCACCGCGTTATTAAAACACGTGGAAAAGCACGGCCTCCGCTCCGTTTTCGACGTGGACGAAAACAGCGTCCTGAACACGACGGCAGGCCAACGCCTCAACCAAAAGGCGCTGGCGCTGCTCTTCGGAGCATACGCGGCCGCAGGCATCTGGGGCGAAGCCCAGGTGGGAAAAAACCAACCCAAGGTCTCAAACTGCGCCATCGCAGGCTTTAACGGAGACAACCTGCAGCGCACAAACAGCGCGTTCCAGAACCTGGTCCGGAAACAGGTCGTCGCCAGCGTCCCGGCTGACTACTGGGACAGATGCAACCTGGACCAGTGCTGGGAGACGCTGCGCCGCGTGGAAAGCGCCATCAACGGCGCCACCGACCTGCAGCCCTTCGACTTCATGACCGAGTTCAACGAGAACTTCCCAGAAATCGCCATCAAAAAAATGATGGTGTTCTTGGGATTCATGAAGGAAGGCTCCCGCAGCCTCGACGCGCTCCAGCAGAAGATGAAGCGCTGGGAGACCGGGCTGGTGAACAGATACATGTTCAACCTGCTGGCCTGGTACAACCACTTCGGTCTCCACCTCATCGACGAGGCGCGCTACACGGACGAGGAAGACGGGGGAAAAATCAAACCGCCCGTCCAAAAAGCGTTCTTCAAGGAGAACATGGAGGAAATCAAAAATGAAATGTTCTCCATGCGAGACGCCGAGGCGAGCTTAGGCAAGCCGAGAAGCGAACGTGTGACAGTCACACTGCGCTCTCGTAGCCACAGCCGCCGCCGCAGCGAATCGCGAGAGCGATCGGCGAGCGAAGGCCCGCAAAACCCGTTCGGCAGCGACGCCGACAGCGGCGGGGACGACGACACGGGCACAACCATGCCGAGCGACACTTGGTTGGAGAGTTTGGATCTGGAAAAAACAGATTTCAACCCGGCCATGGACCCAGTCCACAACCGCCGCCTCGACAAACGTGTCGACGTGGTGCTAGCCGAGCGCCGAAACGCGAAGGGAGGAACACGCACCACATACTACGTGTACTTCCCTCAAACCGGCTTAGTGGAGCCGTCCGCATTGAAGTCCCTGAAAAATATGGGACTCATGCTTCCGCCGGCGGTATGCCACTGGTTCCACGCGCACAAAGCGCATGCGGTGCAGTCAGGCTGTCGCAACGACGCTCAACACCTGGAATGCACACACCACCACCTCATCGACCGCAACCGTCCTCCCCCAGACATCACTATCGCCAAGAGAACGTGGGCAGAAGTGATCCGCTCGCAAAAAGAGCTGGCCGAAGTCCTCTTCTCGGCCCGGTTGGCAGGGCGAAACATCAACCAGCAGCCAACCGGCACAGCGGCAAAACGAGCGGCAGCGAAGGACAAGGAAGCAATCCGCCACCCGAAAGACTTCGTAAAACCGAAAGTCCAGCCGATGAAGGCGATGAAGGCCAAAAACGGCCGAACACGCCGCCAACCGAAAGGACCCCAGCGAAGCGACGCAAACGCGGTTCCGCTGGGACAACGGCATCGCAACGACAGTCGCGAAAAAGACAATCGTGGCCGCAACAAATCGAAGCGATCGAACGAGCGCAAAAACAGCCGCTCACGCGATCGACGCCGATAAATCGAGAGTGATGGAGGGAAAAATCCTCCTGGGGAGAGACGTGAAGGAGCACGTTGGGAGCAAACGCTCCCTCGCGGTGTGGTGGAAGGAGCCACGCACAAGCTAGAACGCGACTAGCTGGAAGAAAAAGGCTACCGGCCTCGAGGACAACAAATCCTCGAAAAACAGAATGCAAAAGCATTCGCCATAAGCCCTCTGGTCAAATTACCAGGGGCACCGGACCATTATTAAGTTAGTGGCGGAACAATAAATTCGTCCTTTTTGACAGAGTAAAAAACACTCTAGTTGAGAGGGAGGAAACAAATCAAACCACCAGTGACGACTGGTGGCCGAAAGGGAAAACGCGGCGGCGGCGGCGCAGTGTTCGAGGGAGTGACGTGTTACATCTCGTCAAGCTAAAAAGAGGGAAAACAGAGTGGGAAGGAGTTACGAGTAAGTAAAGAAGCTAGGCTGGGGAGACCACTTCATGAGATACGGCAGGAGGCCAAGATCCATGGTGGAGGTTCGCCTAAGCAGCCGCACGAACCAGCCTAGACAAAAAAGTAAGTAAGGACGAGAGAACAAACTAACTAAATAAAAACTAAAAAGAACGTTAGAGGGAACAACAGCGAGAGATAAATAAAAAAGTAACATTAAATAAATGTCGAAGCGGGCGGACGCACTGCGCAAAGCTGTCGATCTAAACGACGACGAGCTGCGCGCCATGGGAGAAGCCGACTCCACGACTAGAAACAAAAAGTCGCGAGTCGCCTTCTTCCTCGACTGGCTAGCGGCCAAGGGTGAAAAGCTACCCGTGAGGCCGGAGGCGGTGCAAAGATTCGCCGCCTTCCTAGTGTTCAATGAATACACCTCAGTCGCGCAGTACACATCCAGCATCATCATGTGGCTGGTAGAACCGCCACCCGCGGATGGCCCGCAGCGGCTAGTCGAAAGCCCCGCCATTCTCCGAAACATCGGGGACGTGGAAAAGGCAATTGAACGAACAATCCAAGACCACAACCCGAGGAAAGCAAAGCCTTTCCTACCGGGTACGAAGCTCGAGGCGCTAAAGGCAAAAGACCAAAAAATGGTCCTCCTTTGGGCGCTATCGGGATTGCGGGGCGACAGCATCGCGGCGGTGGACGACACGGACATCTCCAAAAAAGGAGACGTGTGGCGCATCCACATATCCGAAGACAAAATCCGCAAACAACGCGGTAGGATAATAGAAATCCACTGCAATTGCGACACCAACGCAAAAACAGCTGGTGCACGAAGTCGCTTTTGCCCGATGCACGGCGAAGGCGCTGTTATGAGATCTGATTTCCCATTAGGCAAGGCCAGGATAAGTAGCTTGGCGAAGGGAGAAACATAGTCGATCCACCACTACAGTCAAGCAGGCATGCATATGGGCCCTGAAACAGTGACACCAAAGCGAACCAAACAAGACCAAAGGTCGCACCCCGTCCACCCGAAGGGAATCAGATGCTTACTAGGACCTAGGGCTTCTCAGGACTGCCTGATACTCAGCAGTAGTGCCTATCCATTTTTTTTGCCAACAGCTACAGCCCGAAGACTAATAGCACTGCCTGATACTCAGCAGTAGTGAACCAACTTTTTCGCTATAGTTTCGAGAGGAAGAAAACCAAGGCCATTATAACCAAGGCACTGCCTGATACTCAGCAGTAGTGATCACCACACCCATAGGAGCAGCAACAAAGAGCAGATACGCCCAAGGTCGCGCTACCTACGCTTAGCCAGGTCCATAACTCAAGCAGGGAGAAACACAGACTAATCTCAGTAAAAACACACCCAAGTCACTAGCTAAACCCCTCAGCAAGGACATTAGTCTGAGCAACCCCCACAGAACCCTTAACATCAAGCTTAAACTCCAACAGCCACCAACAGCGCCACCTTCGGGTTAAGCGAAGACCAACCTCTCCCAACCACGGAGGGGCGTGCTCCGAACAGCTTTCACCGAACAGCTACTAGTTCTTCTACGGGGTTTTTGTACACTAGTAGCAGCGCAGAAACTTCACAGCCATTTAGACAGAGTTTTTTCTCTCATTTTAGGCTAGTCAGGAGCCCACTTGCAAGACGTACGCTTTGTAGCGTAAGCCTCTACTTTACCTTTCAGGGCACCACCCAGCTAAGAGAGAGCCAAGACGCCCACCTACAGGACAGAGGCACCACCGAAGACACAAGCTTACTTACTACCGAGTGTACAGCCAAGGCCAGGCTAAGCTCTGACCGAAGGAACCGCCCTACTGCGCCTCAACAGCCTAACTTATCAGACCTTTTTGCCACCGCCACACTACAGGCGACCTGAAACAACTCACCTCACCCTCCGAACAGCTTACGCCACACCTTAGGGGGCAACACTGTCTTACACTGCTGCAAGGTACACAGCCCCAACTTTTTTTTTTTTTCCACCACTGTCACAAGCTTAGACTGCCTGAAGAAGCAACTTGCAAAGCCTTAGTTACTTTACCTGTGCGTAGCTTTGTTTTTTTGTAGGGAGGACCCCTTGCCGTCAACTTAGTACTTCGAAGGGAATTAGCGGCACGCTGCACAGCTGCAGGAGAGGACTCGCATTGGCAACGCGACGCGAGTGGGAGCAAGGGAAAATCTCCGTGAAGGAGGATGAATTCCTCACCCACATGGGCTGGGAACAGTCCAGCAAAATGTGGGACGAGTACACAGCCGACCACAAAACGTGGGAGGCTTCGGAATTCATCCCGCTGCACGGATTGCGCAGGCGGTGGCCCTCGGGGGGGGGTCCACCCCCGCGCGTCTTCGTGCAGCCCAAGGCGGTCCAAGAGGACACCTTGGTCAAGCGGACGATCAAGATCACCCCCAAGCAGAAGCTACAGAAGAAAGGGCGGATTCAACAGAATACCGTTACCAAAAAGGTGACGGCCCTAGCGCCAAAGAGCGCCAGTAGCAGCGGCTCAGGGGCACTCAAAGCAGTACCGGGTACAAAAAACGTACGCACCTGGCGGTTCTGAACCTCCAGTCGTCGGGAAAAGGATGGAAGGCGCACCAAGGAGGCGTCGAGAAAGGATGGCCCAAAGGGCTGGAGGTTCAAAGTGACCTTGTCCCCCAGCGGGGGGACAACGCCTGCTACTGCCGAGGGATTAGCCGCGCACCCGGGCCAAAGCGCCCCGGACCAAAGCGTCCGACGCGAAGAGCGAGCACCCGAAACCTCGCGGGTGCCGGTTGATTGACTCGTAGGGCGACGGTGCACGAACACCGGCCGAGCCGCGAGAGGGGTTACGACACCCGGACGTTGGTGTGCAACTCTCTCTGGGGAGGTAAAGGCCTCCCGCCACGCTCCGTGGCAAATTTATGGGCCGTAGGTGCAACGACCGGCGCCGGCAAAGACCTGGGTCTGCCGAGCCAGCCTACCGTGCTGCCACAGCACTAAAAAGTATAACTCACCAGTAGATTTAGGATCCCCGGGGGTTAAGTCTCCAGTTTGTATATGCACTGGAGGAGCTTGCGGGGGAAGTGATTATACTAACTGGTGAGTTAACTTAGGTGAGAGAAAAGATACGCTCTCTGGAAGGTTCCTGGACGACAGTCGACAAAAAATCCTCCCAGGGGCCAACCAAGCCTAGTCACAAAAAATGACGACTGCCACGCCACTACACGTCAGCCAAGCAGAAATGGAGCACGGCAACGACCGCCGCGAGCTCCATGACGCGGTCTGCAACTTCGTCAATCGGGTCCGAGCACAACTACACTTCGAGACCTACGGCCAAAAGCTACCACTCGAGTGGGAACAACTGATAGCTGCCGAGAAGCTACAGCCGGCAGCGGTAGCCAAACGAAGAAAACAAGCCACCGCCTTGTTCAGACGTCTGAAGACGCAGACGGAGCAAGCAAATGCAGACTTGATAAACGCTACGGCGCCAGAGCACCTAAAAAGGGTGCTACAGACAACCAAAACAAGGAACGTCATCGCAATGAGAAAACTCATCGCATTGACGGGCCATCCGGACACGTCGCTACCGGACGACATCCTCCATGGATTTCAAACAATAGGGGAGTACAAGAGTACTGGCCTTTGGAAGGCAGACGTCAATGCCGCGGAGGCAAAGGACCTCAAAGAATTCTATAGCACCGCGGTAAAAATCCGGGATGCGCCTCCGAAGGGTTTCCCAGAGGAAGCCCTTCGGCAAGTCCTCAAAAACATTGAGGCAGACGTCCAGCTGGGCAGATACAAAGAGATCAATCCAGAGGACCTCAAGGTCATGCCGGCGTACGCCTTCCCAAAGGTCGAACCAGAGAAGGTTCGCGTGATAATCGACGAGCGGTGGAAAAACGACTTCTCAAAAATGTCGGAAAAGGTGAGGCTCCACGGGACGCGAACGGTCCTGGAGATTGTAAAAAGCTACATGGCGCCTGCAGGCGCAGAGGGCCTCACCCTCCACGCACCGGTGACACAGTTCACCACGGATATCTGCGGCCAGGTGGCTAAAGAGGTCGCAGACTTCCGCGCAAAAACAAGCGCAAGCGAAGCCACAACCACCGACGAGCACCGCCAACTCGGCGAGCAGGTGAGGCTCCTCAACGAGGAGAGGATGAAGACCCGCCCGGCAGGTAGAAAGCCTTGCATCGCACTCCGAGACTGGAGCAAGGCCTACTACCAGGTAGGGGTAAAACACCCGGAGGAAAACCCGGTTGGAGTCTGGGACGACACCCAGGGGCGCTACCGCATGTTCCTCGCGGCGATACTGAACATGGGGAACAAGTTCAGCGTCAGCAGCTGGTGTAGAGTGGCGGAGCTGGTCATGAAAATAATGGCCACGCTCGGGCACACAGTAGTGCCAATCTACATCGACGACGCCATCATCCTCAGCCTCGAAGAGGGAGCGGATGAGGCAATAGAGGCATACGAAGCTCTCTGCGACTGCCTGGGGCTGGAGCTCGCGACAAAAGCGACAGCACAGCAGGACTCGAGAAAGAGCCCTATTGTGCGCATACTGGGCCTCCACTACGACACAAGCCCAAAAACGGGAATTGATGTTGTGGTGCCAGACAACATGCTCCAGCAGGTCGCGGAAGTCGCAAACGAGCTCCGGCAGAAAGTGAACACAGGACAGTTGGACAAAAAGGTGGTCCAGCGACTGCTCGGACTGGCAAACTTCATCACCGTGTCCGCGGCAAACAGAGCCGGAAACGAGATCATGAGATCTCTTTACGCATGGACAGAAGACGCCACCTTCGACAAGTTGGTGAAGCAGCGGTGGCAACGGAGAGCCCTCCTGCGCTCCACTGCGGCCATCGAGAAGATGGTCCACAAGGTGAACAGGCTCAGACTCAGGCTAGAACAAATCGTGAAGCCTCTGAGCTTCCTGTTCACGGACGCGTCAACAGATGGCGGGCCGAACGGCGAGCCAACGCTAGGATACGTCATGATCCACCACAGCGGGAAGACCCTCATCCAAATGCAGCCATTAACGGATGGCCGATGGGCCACCGCCAGGATAGAGGTACTGGAGGCGGCCGCGGTGGGCCTCGCCGCAAAGCAACTACCGAGTTGGACCAGCAACTCCGACCTCGTAGTGCTGATCGACAACACGCCAGTACTCTACAACTTCATCAAATGTAGTGGCAAATCCGCGGTGGTGGCAAACACCGCAGTAGACGTAGTCAATCACTGGTACGACAACAATGTCAAACCGTGGTACGTCTACATAAAATCCGAATGGAACCTGGCGGACTACATGACCAGACACGGCAAGCACAAACTGTTCATCAACACCATCCCACGGCTGCAGACGGTTCAGCAGTCCACTGGTGCCCGACTATGGCTGGCTGAACTATGTGAACGCCTGCCGGCCCCTGCTGTCGCTGTCGCTCCGGGAGTTCGTCCCTCCCACGGGAGCGACAAGCGCGGTGGAGGGCGGCAGCCGCCCCGGCACACCACCGACGCGGGCGCTGGCCGGCGGGAGGTCCTGACGCAAACCTGTGCAAAGGCCGGCACACGTCCCCGTAACCCCTCGACGGCGGACGCGAGTCTCAGACCGCCGACTCAAGTCCGCACCAGGAAGCCGGAGCCTGGTCGGGGTCTCCGGAGGAAGGTGCCGGTGAGGAAAGGATAAGGGCTCGGAGCGGTCCATTCACCGCTGGCACGTGTCAAACCGAGACCAGAGGTTGAGCGGGAGCTCAAGCCCCGGTAGTAGGCCGACAGCGCGGGCTGGAGGTTCAAAGTGACCTTGTCCCCCAGCGGGGGGACAACGCCTGCTACTGCCGAGGGATTAGCCGCGCACCCGGGCCAAAGCGCCCCGGACCAAAGCGTCCGACGCGAAGAGCGAGCACCCGAAACCTCGCGGGTGCCGGTTGATTGACTCGTAGGGCGACGGTGCACGAACACCGGCCGAGCCGCGAGAGGGGTTACGACACCCGGACGTTGGTGTGCAACTCTCTCTGGGGAGGTAAAGGCCTCCCGCCACGCTCCGTGGCAAATTTATGGGCCGTAGGTGCAACGACCGGCGCCGGCAAAGACCTGGGTCTGCCGAGCCAGCCTACCGTGCTGCCACAGCACTAAAAAGTATAACTCACCAGTAGATTTAGGATCCCCGGGGGTTAAGTCTCCAGTTTGTATATACATATTTTACGACGAGGACGACGAAAAAGCTATCTGCCATACTGTGCAGAGGAACCGAAATGGTTGCGTGAAGAACGTCCACCTACTTCAACCATAGCTTTTGAACCGTTCCAACTCCAAGGTGGCTTTAGCCAAAGTCCTCTCGGCAGTCCTCTCGACGCCAGTCGACCTCGCAACGACGCGAGCCTCGCCGTCCCGCAATAGGGGCTGCTATAGAAGGATGACGAGCACGCTTGTTCGACGGTTCCTAGAAGGCCAGCCATCGTAGTGTTTGAGATCGATGAATGCTGTTAAAAAATAGGTGATCATGAGCTGGAAATAGCTTTTGACAACTCTGCTACAAGAACTCCTCTAAAATGTCTCTCAGCTCACCTTGTTCCACATGTTGCTTAGATAAAGTACTTCCCTGATCTTTTTAAGTACTTCCCTCTAGCTTATTTCTACCCTGACCTTGTCTAGAACTCAACCGCGACTCGCACCATTCACAATTTGACGTTAAAAACTTTTTCCAACGAACACTACACGTGACGAGCTCGCCACATGTACTCTTGTAGACAGCAGGATGAGCGCCAGTATGTGTCCAAAAACTTGTCAAAAATCTGATACAACTGCTTTTGCTTTTGTCTACAAACTACGTGTGATCTTTAGCTTTCGTCATCGCAAACGAGCAGCCCTGTAGGTGATAATGTCCTGCTGGGCATAGAAGGAGAGTAGAGTAAGGATAAGGAAACGGGGTCTCACCCTATAGTACGTAAGATTGAAGGGATGTGATTCGAGGATTTGATTGCGCCCTAGAAAAGGGGTATCATATTCTTAAACACTCACAATGTCGTGCAAATTAATTGGAGCAGTTCTTCAGAAGATATTTGGTATGAAAAAATGTATGGTCAGGTCCACACTGACCTTCATCACGGTCACCGACCTCAACAAAGAAAAAAGAAGTAACAAAAAAAAGTCGTCTAGCTGAGCAATGCATTGCAGACGTCTTCAACGTGCAGTTTCCGCAGATTTGGGTACTTCTGTCCTGTCCCCACGAAGACTACTGGCTGACCACTGACATAGACCATTGACAGAGCCGCGCCTACTTTGTCGTCGACGGTGTTTAGAGATCATCAAGCGGCTCATTCATTTCTGCCCTGAAGACATTTTCTTTTCTTCAAAAGGAGAATCGTATGAGGAAGGAAACAGAAGAAAATGTAGTTGACCATTGGAGGATGATGAAATGAATTGTTGGATCGAGCCTTAAGGTGTCGTATTTCGTCAGGAGCAGTCCGTCTATGCCCCTAGGCTTGTTCCGATCAGGACTCAGGTCTATTAGACTCCTGTTAAAGGTCTTCACCTGGTCGATACCATCGTTGCCTGTTAATGCTTCGCCGACGAAGAGAACCAAGTCCGGTTGATTGACGGACACCATCTTGGCGATTTCCCGCATCAAACTCTCGTTCCCCTGCATGCGACCTGCTGTGTCGATCAAAACTACATCTATTAGAACAACTCAATCGATCCCCATCTTCTAGAGCGCCGTCTTCTAGTAAGTAAGTAAAGTAAGGAAGTAAGTAAAGAAGTAAGGAAGTAAGTCGTCTTGAATCGGGCCTGTAGTTCTTTTCCTCTTAAAAAATAAAAATTTAGGAAAACAGTAGTTCCTCCAAGATGTACAACTAGTATCTGAAGTAAGATGGACATGGATTAGGGGAGTACTTAAGCCATAAATCGATGTTCTCCTTCTCCGCATGTCTGATGGCATTCTTTGCTATCTCTGCAGGATCCTTTCCGTAGCCTTTTTCGAAAAGTTCGACATCTAGACACCTCGCATGCGTCTTGAGCTGCTCCACTGCACCAGCGCGGAAAGTATCGCAAGCAGCGATGAGGATACTTAAGCCGCCTTGCTTCTTGGGCATTAGAGGAGGGAAGATGAAAAGCCTATGATAGGGGAGGCACTACCGGGATGAGGAGTTTATGATCTTTTTGTTTGATATTGTCAATGACATACTGAGATAGGACTTGATAGGACTCTCCTAGCAGATATGGTACAGTAGAATAGAAATAGCTTGAATCAAAAGTAAAGTCATTTTTTCCTGCAACACCACAGTGTACGAGTAGTCAATTTAAATTTTCATCCACCAAGACCAAGTCCAACCATAACAAATGATAAGCCACTTTCGCTAGGTTCGTGCTTTTTCCGACTCCGTTGACCCCTATGAACGCTATTGAAAAGACTCTTCCGTTCGCTTTGGCTGCCATGGCAGCGCGCATTACGTCTACAGACTTTTTGGGGGTCAGCAACTGTGAGACAGCACGTACAATTTCTCGATGTACTGTTTGTCTCATAGTGCTCCAAGCCTCTGTTCGACTGCCGACAAGACTCTGCCTAACGGAGTCGAGGAGACGGTCGGCGACCTGGTTGTGGAGCAGAACAGATTGGTGGTTCTATTGAAAAAAACTTGTTGATGTATCTGATGAATTTATTCTTGAGATTCTTTCTATTCCCAGCTGAAAATTGAACAAGATGATCCTACAAAAAAAAGGTCCATCAACATATGCGCCACATCTGCTTACCTCCTTCGCAACATTCTTGTTCAGCAACTGCTCTCTTATTGGCTTCAGTAACGGCTCTAAGTCTTGCTGTGTCAAAACTTTGCCTCCCGTGAAGTTCTTCAACCCGCTCTTCAACCGTCCTAGTATTTAGAGCTGTCCGTAGTTCATCTTTCAAGTGCATCCTTGAAAAGTATGGGGGAGCATTCCCTTAGGATACTCCTCCATACGTTTCAAGGATGCGCCCAAAGATGTATTAGGTACAGCCTTAAAGTATCCCTGTATCTTCCTCCCCAGCAAGTAGCAGGTTGTTGTTCAACTTTGGTTTTCGTAGGATTTCTGCCTCTTCTTCGTCATCGTCAGCTAAAAACTGGGCTTTTGCAGCTGCTAATTGGTCATCATCCCCTCGCCCGCCGTCTGCTGGATCCACCTTTTTTGAGAAATCAAGTTTATCAATAGCTTGCTTATTAACTTTGCCTGCGCCAGTCCATTCTCTTTTCTTCTTGCCACGACCGCCATCGTCGTCGTCGTCTTCGTCGCCTAGTAAAGTTAAAGGATGAAAACATGGGCGGAATTCATATCTTCATGTACTACCATCTGGAGCACTAAAAACAAGAAGTACTTAGACATTTACTAATAATTGAGGCTTGATCAAGAAAACCAAGATGATCTATCCCAGAATAAAATCAGCTACTTTACTCGAATCACCTCAAAATCTCGAAACAACAAATACCTCCATCTCCCTTCGCGCCGTCTTTCTTACTTTTCCCCCTTTCCGTGTCTTGGAAACTGCGCATTTCTTTTTTCCGAGTAAGCCATTCTCGGTCCGCTCTAAGCTTGATGCCGTCGTAGATTTTTCGAAATTTCGACAAATTCTTCGCTCTCCATTCCAGTGAAGATGGCTTATTCAATTCCTCTACTACTCCTACGAAAGCTTCGGTTACTTCGGCAAGCAAGGTCTCAAGATAGGCCAGCTGCAGGATGCCCTGTTGTAGAAGCAGGGTTTACTTCCTCATTCTTGTGAAGAAGGTTGCGGAAGTAGAGTATCACTTCTTATCGGATAGGATAGGATAGGATAGGAGTTAGCTCACCTGCTACAAGGTGTGACTTCTTGATAGATAATATCCTAGTTGTTTTCATAACAGCATTGATTGCATCAGGATTCAGAGAGAGAGAGAAAAGAAACCCAATTATCACAACAGGAGAGGGTCCGTTAAATCGAGCAAAAAAATAGAAGTAGAACCACGACCTCCACCAGCAAATATAGAAAGATATCATCAATGAAAGTGGAGTTTTAACTTGTCCTAGTTGTCCTTTTGTCATGTCCTCGGAAGTCCTAGTAAGTTGTCCTTTTGTCATGTCCTTTTGCCATGTCTCGTGTGTGTAATCGAGCAAAAAAATCGAACCGCCTGCTCCACCATCAGGCAAAAAATCGAACCTTCAAGAAAAAACATCTTCATACCTGATATATCAGCACGAAGACCAGCTCCAGGTCGTTCCGTATCCTGCAGTGAAATTTGTAGTTCTCCACTGTTACGGGTTCATCGCCTAGTTGTTCTTGTACTAATACCGTCTTGATAAACGCGTCTAGTGGGTCTGCTTTCTTGCCTTCTTCTTCGGCGCGAAAGAGAACAACGCCAGTCTTCGTGAAGATGACACAATCGTCGATCATTTTTTCTTGGTCGATAGATCTTCAGTCAAACGTTGAATGATGATTGAAGCAGGGAGAAAATGTTCTTCTTCTTCTTTTAATACAGTATTATAAAGGAATGTATACGCAGTTGTTCAGGAAAGACAGAGTGCTGAGCAGTATAGTACGACTACTTATGCGAGTTGTATGAATGGTATGTGTAGGTGAAACGTACTCTACTAAGAATATCACCTCCTATGCTCCTAAATACTGTTCATAAAAAAGTATCTACTTCTATGTATAAGAGCAAACAAAGTGGTGCTAACAGTGACTTTTCTATGATCATATATCTACTTAATACAAGACTGTTCATTTGCGTTATTGGTGAGGCTAAGAAGAAACTCAGATATCGGGAAGAAAGAGGGCACTGTGATATTGGGAACCGAGAAAAACTCTTATTCGTCGGGGATCTAATTCTTCTAGAGTAAACTAGCCGACAAAATCTAGGAAGAATCTACGACGCAAGATCGTTAGAATTCTTCTATTGCAGTGCCTTGATAGTTGTCTCTCAGCTAGACCATCGCACTATTGCAATTCCAGTTCGTTTCATGATGTAGAACCCAATAAAGCTCTCCTAGTGTATCTTTGATCGTTAGTGTCAGCTGCAGAGAGAAAGAACGAAGTAGAGGTGGTACTGGAACACTGGTCATTCCCCAAAGTCGACATTGAAGATGATCCAGAATCACCACCAGATGAAGACGTTGCTGTGGAAGATGACGTTAAATGCTAATATGTGCAGAACGAAGAAGTCATGCGGGCGTGACCGTTTGTTCCCTGCTCGTCGTGCCTCGTCGTGACAATGTCCGCTGACGCGAGGTCAGTCGTCACTCGAGGGTACGACACTCACAAAACCTTGACCTTCAAGAACAAAGCACGGAGCTATCTTTTCATGTAGAGGTCGAGGTGGTACTGGAACACTGGTCATTTCCCCAAGACCACGAGGACGAGGAAGTACGAGGAAGAGAGCGGTGGCACCGCTCTCTTCCTCGTACTGAGCGATTCTTCATTTTTTCATTTTTTCAGAATCTGTAGTGCTTAGTTTTATGTACAAATGTTATCTCCGGGTTCTTGTGACTGTGAGGGGGTCTTTTGATGGGGTCTTTGATGAAGATTATCAGGTCTGGTGTGTTTGATCGATGATCATGTCAAGAAAAGGGCTGAGGGATATAATTGTGCTTTTGTTGTAGCAAATTTTTGTATCCTGAGGTTTCTTAACGGAGTTGTGACGAGTTTAATTCATTGGTTTCGGGTTCAATAGGATCATCATATTGGGGTTCTTTTGTTACGTCAGAGGATGAGCGGCTCATGTTGTACAAACCTTGAGTTACGAATTTTATGCTGCCTTATGCTTGTAAGGGGTTTCGTCGTTGGGAAATCTTCATCTACTTCACAAATGTTAAATGATCATTTTGTAGTACTACGGTGCATGACATACTGGCAGTGGGGATGTGTCGTTTTGATTGATGTGATATGCAAATGCAAGAACATATTGAAATGATAACTACGTCGATAAGTAACGGTATGGGCGTAATCAGAGTTTTCTGTGCAAGGGAACATACGTTGATGACGGTACTATGCAATTTCGACCATCTCTGTTTGTCAGTTCTTTACTCCACCTCCTGTAACGGAAATTCATTTATGTTGATGTCTCTATTTTCTTACAAGTTAACTTTATTTCATGTAGTGACGTGTGTTTATTGTAACAAGGAACATTTTTGAAGATTGTCCTTAGTTCTTGGGCAGTTGATGGAGTGTACTACTTAGTACCTAGTATTGTTGCACTCGTTCTTGTGAATGAATGGCAGTGCAAGAGTGCTACTAGCGGCTTCTGGTGCAATTCGTTGGTGCCACCTAGTTTGTTAGTTTCGTCTACTAGGCACGCTGTACGATGTCGTAGGTTCAGGGTCTGAGTACAAATCATTTTCAGGTAAGGATCTTCTAGCATTTCATGGATTTCGAGTTGTTGTACTAAATAGATAACTTTTATTGCGTTGAACTCTGGTAACTGTTCATTTTGAAGATGTGCTTGAGAGAGTAGTTCAAATGTCAGATTTTGTGATAGGAAATGTAAGTCAATTGTTCAGAAGATTGCTATTGCTGTTCGTTGTTGCCGTTGCGATGTTGAATAAATTGTTAATGAAGTTTAGATGTATATTTGCGTTTATTGCTGTAGTTCAAGTAGTACGATACTAATGACAGGATGACATACTGTTGGTATTTATAATGAGTCGTGTTAGATGTAAATTTTGTTCTTGGAAAGTGCATTCTAGGTCTTAAGTTGTAATGACATTGTGGATATAAATTCTTATAGAAGGTACTTAGTGCTTACTTCGTTAGTTCTTTTTATTAGTCGATCTTGACGAAATACGATAACATAATTCAGCAGTACAAAGCGAATGATTCAACACCTCAGTCTGTTTGAAATTGATATATTTCACACACCGCTTCTAGTAAGTACCGCAAAACAACAAGTATCGTCATAGTTCATAGTCTCTTTGTTGTTGAATCCACTAAAACTAAAAACTAAAAATATCATGGACGAAGAGAAAATCGCGATATTTTTAGAACCTCCACGAAGAATTAATAGTGAATGAGAAAGATTTTGTTGCGTTCATAGTCACAACATCATCCTCACTTCAAGTTCAAACAAAACTCTCCTACACTCATATCTCAGTTCTTCTCAAACCCAAACGTTCACCTCACGTTTAGTATTCTTCCCAAACGTTCGTCCACACCAGTAGTTGCCCGTCTCCACAAACGTCAGTCTCCACCTTCCAGACAGACGCTCACTCACCTCCAGTCTAGCTACGTTCACACCACCTCCCAGTCTTCTCAACTGATCAATGTTCCCCTCAAAGGGGATCCTGGATTTGCATCGACTCCGTCAGTTACGACGGCGGATCCGTGTATTAGAGGGTTTACTCATGGTAACAATTTGCAGACAAGTGAGTTTTTATGCTTCTCTCGTGGTTCTTGACAACTGACTCATGATACAACTAGTACAACAAATAAGAGTTCTTAGTATGCTTCTACAGTTCCTTCTTGGCACAAGCAAAATAAGTGCTAGAAAAGACATGACAGTACCAATAAGTTCTTTTTATGCTATCGTTCTTAGCACAACAGTGTAGACTTAATATTTAAGTCATGGCCCAAGACCCATCAACACATTAAAGGTTGAAACATTTCATTTTTTAGTAGCAGTCTCAAGTAGAGAAGGCTTGTAAAGATGAAATGTTTCAACCCTTAAACACAGGAGACCACGACCAGACACTACGTACTACCAAAGAACAAGTCAACATCTCAAACTCAACACAGCAGGAGACTCCAATTTTTCAGATCTTAATTGACAGACCATAGAGAGGGCTTGTCCTTTTTGGAGGATTCTCTCTTTGAGTCTTTCTTCGCGAAGCCTTCTGCATCGGTTGTTCTCGTCGCCCTTGCGGTTTCCGTGACGCGGCTACCACGAGGCGTCAGGCTCTCCGTCTTCACCGTCTTTTTCGACGACTTCCGTTAGAGCGGGAGAGAGTTACATCATGTTCTTGGGGGGAGAGAGAGACCTGGGGGGAGAGAGTCAGGACGAGGTACAATCTCGGGAACCAGAATGATTCGGGGAAGATTGAGAGAGGGAGATTGAGAGAGAGAAATTGAGAGAGGGAGATTGAGAGAGAGAGAGAGATGGAGAGAGAGAGAGAGAGAGAGAGAGATGGAGAGAGAGAGAGAGAGAGGAAGATTGAGAAAGGGATAAATAGACGGAATCACGGAATTACCCCATCAAGTTCAAGTTCTACAGCAAAACTTTGCCTTACTACTTAGATATCACAACTAAAAAATGAAGTGTCCGTTGTTGAAGTAATTATCAGGAACAGATTAAGTGTCCGTTCGTAATTTTTCCCCCCAGTCGGTTCGATATAGGTTGAGTCCATTTCCTCACCGCGAATGTAGGTCGACTCCAAACCAGATTGCATAGACCTCATGCCACCGTAAGCGGGATCAGAGACAGGATAACCTTGTTGATCAACCAAGACGCCATTCTTCTCAACCACCGCAGAACCCAAAGCGGCTTCCTTGTCCGCAACATGGTCTTCAGGTTACGAATGAAGATGGGAAAAAGGAAATGTTGGGATGTAGCCGTGGGTATGGAAGAAAGATGATGGGAAGAAACGAGCGCATTTTGGAATGTTGAAATTGTAGTTGGAAAGATGGGAACAATGGGACGATGGTGAATAAATTTGAATTGCGATGTAGTTGCTCAGGTTGTTTTACTTGCTACTTGTTCAAGTAGAGTCAAACATTCATTGGGGGAAAAATAGATCGTCAATTCCAAGTTCTACTTGGGGAGGCTGAAGTATCGCAATTTCTCCTTGGGGAAGATGAAGAAGTCTAAATCAACTTAGAACATTCCATAATCACCCATGAAGTCACTGCAAGTGAAGAGGCCAACAGCTGCTGCGGCAATGGTATCCATAGTAGACGGCGGCGGTTGTCCAGCCTCTGGCGGCGGCACCTCTCGCATGGCCCAGTAACCAAAAAATCCTCCGACTGTTGCCTTAGAGGGAGGAAGCAGACTGAGATCGAGACAGAAAAGTTTTGGAAGGTCTTCTTGAGGAGTAGGAGAACGAGAAATTTACGTACAAGTAATTGAAGTGCGAGGAAAGTAGTTGATGCATTTGAAACAACAAGCTGCCTAGTTTCAAATGACGTGATGCAGTAGACTGAGACAGACAGAGGTTTTGGGTAGTCAAGAATCCTTGCAAGAAGTAGATCTTCAGGCCATAACAAGCAGAAGGACAATGAGAATGATGATGCAGCAGCAACAGCATCCGCAACAACATCCACCCGCACCCTCGTCCTCGCTTGAGTCATCGCCTTTTATTAGAAAAAGGCTTCGAAAAACGAAATGGTTATGGTCTATGAACTTCGACTAAGTACATGAGCTCTGAAGCAGAAAGAACAGTGCAAAAACTCATGCAACGAACTCTACAACATCTACCCATCAGTAAGATACCTGAGGAAACTACTATCAATCAATAAGATCGACTAGAAAGTAAAGGATTTTTATACCCGATTATCCCTCAGAAGTCGTTGTAAAAAATACCGCAGCGAGTAGTACGAGTAGGATTAGTAGTGGTAGTAGGAGTAGTCGTGTACCCAGTCCCAGTCATGGGGTATAAGTGCTATTCTAATTAGAGGAGTCTTAACTCTCCACCTTCGGCCTCGCCTTGTTCCTCTCCTTCACCTTCTTTGGCTTCCTTGGCTTTATTAGAACAAGAAGCCCACCCCAAGATACATTGATGCTTCTCAAAGAAAATCAACTGTAAACAGAATCTATCAGGTTTCTGAAAGCCGCGTCAATAGACCACAGTGGTTGAAGGAAGTAAGTAGCCTCAGCCGACGGAGAATGAACCGGCTTCAAAAAGAAAATCAAAATTAGGAGAACAATTATGATCAGAAATGAATAGCAATTTGCAGCAGGAAACAGCAACACTGTCAGTCTAAGCAAATAGCCTTAACTTCAGCATCCTTTTCCTTCTTCGGTTCATCCGCCGTCTCCTCTTGCCACTTGAGGAATTTGGCGTAATCCATAAAGAGTTCCTCTTTCCAAGTGCCATAGCGTTTCAACGTGTCTTGAAACGAGCGTTAGAATGTGACTAAGAAAAAATGAAAACTTCTAAGAATAAATGAAAACTTCTAAGAAATAATGAAAACTTCTAAGAAATAATGTTGATGAAGACAAGTCTACTTCCAAATCTTCAGCAACAACTCTTCCACGAGTTAGAAGAATGAATAGTTCGTTCGTGACCTGCGGTCTGCCACTACTATGAGAAGAGCTATGACTAAGAAACGATGAAGGCTAAGAAACGATGAAGAGGACAACGACAAGTCTACTACATCTTCAGCAACAAGAACTCTTCTTCCGGTATTTGGAAGAATGAACAGTTGTTTCGTGACCTCCTGGTAAAGGTAAAGGTAAGTAGGCCTACAGCTCTTCCACTCTACAACTACACTGTGTTTTTCATCTGATCATACTCAGTTACCCTTTGCCATAATTTTGACCACGAAGACGCTCGTTGCCGAGAAGAAGTTTGTAGTATTCAGCCTGATCTTTCGATTCCAACTTGCAAAAATTGTCCTGCATAGTACACAGCTTCTTCACGAAATCGTTAGTGGCAGGCTGGTGTGGAGTGGTGGATTCTTTGGGTTGTTCATGTGCTCCACCCAGGCCACCATTACGCCTTTGGGCTGTTAATGGGACTCTTCATTCATTATATGTTGTTGGAAGGGCTACACGCTAGAGGTAATTTTCAAGCAACACCAACATCATCGACCAATTAGCTTGTCAAAACTGGTTGTAATCGTGACCTAAGTGCCAAGAAGATACGGGTACGAGTCCACCATTTTAACCTAGTGAGAGGCATGATTCAATCTCGTAAAGATTATTTATTCGCAGCCAAGTGGTGGAACTGGCATTGGAAAAAACAGGTAATAATACCACAACATCTTGTGTAGCAAGTGCTTGGGGACAATCCTCCTTCAGGCCAACGCCGATGGGGTAAAGACGATTTTCTCTGCCTTCGCCATCTACTTCGTACCAAGTTAGAAGTGGGTTATGACGCATGATCAACGTTGTATTATCCTCATCGCATGAGGTAAGGCGTTGCTGGCGATCTTCATTACATTCAGCTTGAAACTGAAAGAAAAGCATCTTATAATCTTTGACGTGTAGCAGCCAGTAGCTAGTTTTAGTTTTTCTAAATAAAGTAGGGGTCGAAGATAGGATAGAATTCCTCTACCTCGCAGTCATGCAAGGTGATTCGTTGGCTTAAACTGCATGCGCATTCTTAACATCAATGTCCGAACGTTATTCACCTAGTAAAGAGGGTTTCTATCATTTCCTCTATTATGTACAAATCAATGAATGGGTGAAAAATGCCTCTATCCTACTTGAGGTGAATTTCTACGGTAGTAAAAAGCCTTAACCATTTTTTGAATTGTTCCAAGATTGCCTTTTCTTTCTTGTCTGCAGCGCCAAGGTTGCTTGCGCCTCTCTCATGAAGGAGGAGGAACAGAGGAGAGGAGATGGCTTTCGTATTTTTCCATCTCCCAGAAACTAGTTCAACTATAATGATGTGGAGCAGTAGGACTAGATTCATCGCGAGTAGTTAACTTTTCCTTGAGATTTGTCTTAGCCTTGCCAGTAGAATGGTAGTCTCAATATTCAACTATAATACTTATAGAACAACGGGCTTCCTCCAAATCCATGGTATAGCATAGGTCACACGTAGTCTCACAACACCTACTGAAACGGAGACCACTAAAAAATACCCACCTCAAGTTCTATCTAATCTATCACAAATCAAAGAAAAAAGAAAAACTTGAACCTCTTGATAAAAAATAAAATAGCCTGTGGTCCATAATGTAACTTGGGCAATTGATTGCCGGCCTCGTTATAGAAGAGGGCCACTTTGTTTTGTACCGGAGGACAGTGATGGTATCCCTGCTCCTTCGTACGACTCAACGCCTGCTGAAAGAACGACATTTCTGACGAGGTCTCATCCTCCTGTGAGAAGGAGGACGATGAAAAAAATCTTAGAGGATCGGAATATAGCGAGGATCAGAATATAGCAACTAGTTAGGATCGGAATATAGAAGCAACTCCATGGCTTAGAAGACAGGAAAATGAGAGCAGGAAAGAAAACCCTCTTATTCAGTGATTTCTCGAAAAGCAACCTCAATCTGTCAAAAAGAAATCTCAGCCTGTTCAATGACTAATATTATCCAACGACTACTCTTCAATGACTAATATCCAACGACTACTGTTCAATGACTAAGTATGCAATGACAACACGTCTGTCTCCATATGATTGCAGTTCCGTTCACGATACGTGCTACTTGGTGGTAGGCGAGAGCCGTGTCAACGTGTTTTTCATGCGCATGTGCCAGCTCATGAGCTCCGCTTTATTAGATCATGAGGAACACCAGTAGGGCAAGAGTATTCCGTAGGTATGTTGTAATTACTCGAAAAACTGAAATAAGCGAGTTGGCAAAGAAAATATAACTAAGTATATGCTCTATCAAGAACTGCTCGACTACATCTAGGGTAAGTAGGTGCTGATACACTTCGTAAGTTGTCAGTAACGGTATAATATAAGTCGTCCTCATCTTCTAAATCAAATTCAAATACTGTTGTTCATCGATGTGCTACACAGAAAAATCTTGACGCCTGATCATTGTCCCTAAAGTTGTTCTTCCAGGAACGACGCGAAAGCGGTATGTGGTACTCTGGGAGCCAAGGAAAACTGTTCCTCCAAAAACACCTGTGCGGGATTGTAAGACCGGAAATTAGATGTCGTCAAAGGGTCCAAAGATGAAGAGTCATGGTTGTGGTGTGGTGTCATCTTCGATAATGAGTGACAATAAGCTTTGATTCAAAATGGCTCCTGGCCTGAACCTGATCAACATAATCATTGAAATACAATTGCAAGAGCACCTAAAGGTGAACTTACTTCGACTACTACATCAATATAAGAATTTCTCATAAAGTAAGGAGGTGCTCGTCCATCGTCGCCAAAAGGGTTCTGCAGAAACGAAGACTTCTTGACACAGCAAGACCCTCCAGCGACTGGACACTGCTCAGAGACAAAGTGCGTGTTGGCGATTTTGGCAATGACGCAGGTAGGTTAGAGAGCGGGACTAGAGAGAGAGAGGGGTAGCGGAGGAATGACAACGTGTGGAGCTACAAACAAGTTCAACTTTTTAACGAGCTTCTAAAAAAACTAAAAAATTTAGATTTACTTAGTAGCGGGCAAAACGTTCTTGAACAACTGTGAAACTGATCATCAGTTACGACTGAGAGTTGTATGAAAACACCTTGTCTCTAAACTCAGCACTCAGCCATTATTACTACTCACATTGTGCAACTACATTCCTCATCTGTACAATTTCTGTATCATTCATAAGCGAATTTCGGTTCCGCCTTTTTCTCCGGCTTCGTCTCGTCCGCCTTAGGAGCGTTAGAGGAGGATCTTACATACGACATCGCATCTTCCGATGATGATGAAACTTCAACTAGTCCAGTTCTGAGAGGCCTGAGGTACGATAACCATTTATTTAACAATCACTGAGGTAATCATGGCGACGACCCTTCGTCATAATATTCTTGGTTGCAGTTTGGATCTTGGTTGCAGTTTGGATCTTGGTTGCAGTTTGGATCTTGGTTGCAGTGACGATCTTTCCTTCTCCCACTGCCATGAAGGAATCCGCTTCCGCTTTGTTAGAGACGAAGATATTGACGACGACGCTTATCGCGTGTCTTTTTTTAGTACAAAGAGCTCTCAACCTTAGCAGGTGGTAGATATGTCACTACACTAAGACAGGAGTGTGTGTGTTTTTTATTATAGCTCAACATACTCAGACAAGAAACTACCTACTGATTATATCTTTCAAAGTACAGACGATATGATGTGTCTAAGGCAGCCATAACTTTGGGAGCAGACTCTTCCTCCGCTTCGCCACCTTCTCCTTCCTTGCCGTCGCCAGCGTCACCACCTCCGCAGCAGCCACAAGAACCTCCTTCTTTTTTCTCCCCATCTCCTCCTGTTCTTAGAAGTAGGTAGAGTCTTTTTCTTTCTTGTTCTTCCCTACTAGTTGTATTTGTTCATTATCTTTTTTTTCGTGTTAAATAATGTAGTTCTAGTATATCTAAATGCGCATTGCCGTTCGTCTTACATTGCGATTTCCCCTTCCTTCATCTCAAGATGAAAAAATCAATAAACGAATGACGACAGACATCACGACCAGATGAAAGTGAAACCCCAAAAAAGTATTAACCAAAAGAAGAGCAAGCGATCTCGTAACTCTGCTTCACCTCCCTCTGCTGCCTCGCCTTCCTTCGCTTCTTCGCCTTCTTTCTTGTCGTCGTCTCCTCCTTCTCCTGCTTCCTCCTTCTTCTCGTCTCCACCACAACAACTGAAAGATTAGAGGTCATAGTCGGACGAACATTATCATCTTCATCATTACGTCTCAGCCGGTCGCTCTCAATCGGCAAGACCAAACAGTTCCTGAAAAGATCCCGAAAAAGTCGTCTGATCTCTTCTCTCGTCCAGGAAGTCATGGTTAGGATCGGATAGGAATCAATGCGCCGTCCACAGTCCTATCATCTCCGATCTCAAGGCAAGCGGCAGATGATAGTCTGCTCTAGAATCTCAACATAGTACTAGTCAAGTATAATTCTACTACTACTTCTTTGATGAAATCAAAAAATACTTCTGCTATCTTCTCTTTCATTTCCACTTCTTTAGTGCTGGCCATTCTCTACTTCATTATGAAGATGTACTCCATTGAGTAGATGATGCCGTAACTGTCGCAGCAACATTCCTCTTTCTCTTTCTCTTCACCAGGTGGTTCTGAATATAATTAGAGACGAGAATGCACCCAAGGTTCAGAAACATTCGACGGACTAGACAAAATACGATCATGATCTATTGATACGTATTGCCGAGTTCCACTTCCAGTGGAGCCCCGACTAGAAAAGAAGAAGAAAATGAAAAGGGAAAACCAGTGGTGAAAAAGTAGTACCTACTTATGATAAGTTATCTATTTTTACCAGCTACATAAGGCCCGGATCTACCGTATAACGGAAGATAGGGTAGGATAGGAGTTGACTCACACTCCACAGGGTAAGCCTGTGTTTTTGTGCTGTCGTGATACCTCGTGGGCCATCCTATTTCTAACTAGTGGCAATTATAAGGTCATTCAGCCTTCCAGCACCTTCAATTTAAAGAAGAGCAAGATCAAGAAGACCGATCAATGGACTATCAAGTATAACCAAAGGTAGCCACGATAACGATTTTACTTGTTCTATAAAAATGAGAGCTACAGAAATAAGATGAAAGCCTTAACCTTCTTCCTTTGGCGCAGCGAATTCGGCTCCAGGTACTTTCACGAAATAGTAATCGCGAACCGTGATTAGAAGCGCTGTGTTGAGCAGTACTTCAGACCATTGAAGAGAAACCATAGACAAAAAATTATTGATATACCATTAGTACAACCCAAGGACCATAATATTAAGGTATACCTAGTTGTACAACCAAATCCCAGAGACCTAAAAAAAGGCCTTGTTAGGGTACTTCAGACCATACTCGAGCGAAATTGTTGATATACTAGAAGTACTACAACTCAAACAAGTAGACTAGATGGTTCAAGAAATCGACTACACAGGAACTAAAATCTGTACAACGACGTCATAATCTGGTACTAGACCTTAGACAAAGAGAACACTTAGGTTAGATTCTGGTCTGCCCAATAAAGAGACTGTTGACATTGATATAGAACAAGTACTACAACTCTACAAAGAATGACTGACATCGACATGACCATGAGACATTGATATAGAACAAGTACTACAACTCTACAAAGACTGACATCGAGATCGACATGATTCATTGGCTACTAAATAAAATGCATGGTTTGAGATCGACATGATTCATTGGCTACTAAATAAAATGCATGGTTTGAGAAGCAAGAGGTCATAAAAACATTTTCTCTTCGATCAACTGCCAATCCCATGGGCTTGCGCGGCCATTGGCATCCTTCTTTAGGGGTATCGTGTGACTCTCGCCACGTGCGCCTGGGACCCGGTCGTTGGCGAGAGGAATCGTATCCATTTTCTCCTTCTCCTGCAGCCACGACATGCTAGAAGCAACCATAGGAAAACCTCCAGATGACGATGGAGCAACTCCTCCACCGAATTTTAGAGAAAATACTCAGTCATTTCAAGAGTAGATGAGGCATCGTGTGTTGAGTACTCAAATGGAGAATAGCGTTGATTACTAGGAGGATGTTTTTATCAAAATCATGTAGTACAAGGATGTGGATGCCTATGCTATAATATTACAATTAAAGTACTAGTAGCCGTAAGAGTTGTTGCTGCTGATTGCAGTCGCTTCCTTCGGTACAACGATCTTCGCCAGCGGCAGCCTCACTTTCTTTCAAAAACGACGGGACCGCTCCAAATGTTATTAGAAGAGAACGACCGGTCCAAAGGTTAGGGAAAATCAGAATCGACAACAGATTTCTAACAAAGCGAGGTATGACCATACGCACTAACTTGTTTGAAGGGATAAGCCTAGGGATAGAGGTGAAAACTAGCTGGTTGCTTTACTTGTTTAGTGCTTTGAGCGTCGCTGGACATGATCATACACATCAACATCATATTTTGGAAAGAACTACCACACTAGCAATAAAGCAAGAGAACATGATCATACACATCAACATCATATTTTGGTTAGGTTAGGGATCTTTGGAGACTTAGTCTCTTACACAACCATGTCATAAAGTAACAGCTCGCCCATTTTCATCGAAGAAGTCTGCACTGACTAAAACGGCTGCTGTCGCGATTCCAAACGCGATGAGGCGTCTTGGAGACCCCCGCTCTAGGATGAAGGGTTTGCGCATCCTGTCTGATTTCTCCCTCCTTCTTGAGACTTGTCTGATTTAGATCTAAGTATCTTCCTTGTTCTTTGAGTAGACAGACTTGTTCTTGTTGAGATTGAGACTTGTTGAGTTTGGGATTTGGTTAGAAGTTTGAGATGAACAACAACTACAAACTGTACGCAAGTTTCGAGATGTTGCTTGTTCTTCTTGTTGTGTACTAGCTGTTGAAAATGAAATCCTTCAGTAAAGCTAACTTGAATTCGAGAAAAAGACAACTACAAGTAGTCGCGTCCCACCCTTTTCAAGCTATATTGGTTTTGTGTGTGGAAGTTCTCTATTCCCTTTGATGTTGTTTTGTGTCATCGAAATTAAACTGAAATAACCGAGTATGTTAGGGAAGAAACATCTCAGATACTCGCTTATTGTGTTACTTCCTGGCTTACTTTGAGTATTCCTCGAAACAACTACGATTTTGATAACCGACGATAACGACTGGTGATGTTGTCTGCGACTAACGAGTTTGAAGCGATTGCGATACTCCTTCTCAATAATTTTTCAGACCGATTTAGCAGTACCGACGTGTACTCAATTCTTCATCTCCGAAAACGAAAAGTATCTGGAGTATCCAGTTTGAACACAAGTGAGTCTCAGTCTACAATGCCCCATTCTCGGTACAACTACTTCTCTCAGCATGTGCTTGTGCACCTGCACGACTTTTTCTGATAACCAAAATCTCTTTGATCAAGGCCAAGAACTCAAGAACTGCGTGTGTTGAAGTAGAATACGTTGATATCTTCGTTTCAATATTCTGTGCAAAAACTACTAGCCAGATCCAAGGATGGATGGGAGGAAAAGTGTAGTTGCGCATTGTACTGTTCACCCAACTACAAGATGAGGAATAACACCAAACTATCTCAGTAACTTTACTTTCTTCTTATCAATCCTCTCTTCATCAATGTTGTAACTATCGCAAATGAAAAAAAACAACTTGGCTTTCCCTTACCCATCCAAGCAAAGCATTTCCTCGCCCTCTTCTAGCGGTTGTCTTTTACGAATAGCGTAGTTGTCCTTTGGGTCTACAACGCCTACAGTTGTTGAAGAAACACCTGGGTGTTGAATTGGGTCTACAACAGAAACAACTAGTATTGTCCACCACTTGGTCAGAGGTCCTCTGACCATCACTAGTACTGTCCACCCGTAAAAAACCTCTGACCATCCCGCCATTCCCATTTCGACACTCCTCTCATCGGTGGATTCAACGCGTCGCGCGCATCGTAAGCTCCAACAGTATTATTTTTCAACAGTTCACCGAGTCGTGCTGTCCTCGTAATATTGCTTTTGGTGGTGGTTAGAGATGAGTAGATTGTTCCATTTCATTCAAGTGGGGTTCAGACTTCAGAATTGCTTATTGAAGGGCAGTCGTGATGTTGTACATCTTGATCATGGGAGTCTTCACATAAAAACCCTGAAATGTAGTGATATTGGATGGGTACTAACTTCTGGGTACTTGGATTTGGAGATTTCAGAAAAAAACTTTTTGCTGGGGCTACTGAAAGAGCGGCCTCAGCTTTATCCAGTTCGCAAACCGGCGGCAGGCGGAGCTTAGTGCTCCTCTATCATTCTATTCTCTACGAACCCGCCGATTTTAAAATGATCAAGAAACTAGGAGGTTGAGGGAATGGGGCACGTTACGTTTAGCAAGCAACAGACAGGCTCGAAGACAAAGGGATGCCACGAAATGATGGATGAAGGAATGAAACAAACTCTGAAATGTAGTGATATTGGATGGGTCGTACTAACTTCTGGGTACTTAGCCGTAATGTACTTCTCTTCGGCTGCACCACTGGGGTTGTTCTCGCTGATGAAAGCAGCTGCTCTTGAAAGGAGCCTCCCTCAACATCTGGTTCCGTTCCAATCGTCCCGAGAACTACATGTTTGCTAGCGATTTTGATTTGAATCGGTCGAACTGACGCTGCTTTGGAACTTCTAGGAGATGTTATATCTTGTCCTCTTGTTGATGTAGATGAAGACGCTGTTGAGTTAGTCAAAACCCTCCTCAAGGATGCACCGGACTCAGCATAGTCTCGCACTTCTTTCTGTACTAGTGATGACCAACGCGAATGCTCTTGGGCTGGGGTATTCTTTGGTGCTGTTTGCTCTGGCATTACGCTGGTTAGAGTCCACCCCAATCCATTCTGGGACTCATCTCGGATTTCTTGTTTTTCCCTTAAATACCTACGGGAGCGCTCTAGTCTACTGAGTGAGAAGTAGAGAGAGATGCTTCTGGAAATGGATTAGGGAAAGCCTTAAATTGGACGATCGATTGCCGTAGGTCATAATCCACTTCTCGGACTTCTTGTGGGCAGATCTAGATCCACCATGTCCGGAGGAAAGCAGGAGAACCATTTTTTTGGGTATCTTCGATCTGAATGCAAACAGTTAGACCTTCGACCTCTTGCCAGGCACATCAATCAATGAATCAATGAATCAATATAATGGTTCTTTGTGATGTGTGAGCATGAATCAATATAATGGTTCTTTGTGATGTGTGAGGCAGTGTGAGCGGATTGATTCTCTGTACGAATAGAAGTCTTCAACATCACGAGGGCCGAAGCCAACAGGATAGGATCGATAGGATAGGATAGGATAGGATAGGATAGGATGCCTCGGCTTCGCTGTCATGCATGATGACAACTAACAATTTTCTCCGTTTTTGTGAAGCCAATTTGCCTTTTTTTTAGGAAGACCACGCATGAAAATGAAATATTCTCTCGTCGATCCTCTCGTTTTTTCTCAACATCTACCCATTCCTCTATTTTGACTTTCACAAAGTAAAGCAGTAAGACCTTGAGTTTCCAACACGCTCGCGCAGCAAGCAACTTGAACTTGTTGAACTTGATACATCTTCATCTTCTCGGGGGACAACTAACATATTTATGACAAGGGTTTTCGTGTTAGTTTGGGGACTCCAATAAAATGACACAACGCATAGTGTTGGTGCTGCGTCAACAACATGTAAGAAGCAAGTACAAGTTATTATAAGTACATAATCTTCATGACATCTTCAAATCCAAAATAGTAATGAGGATCTTTGATCGAAGTTGGTGGTCTTCGTTTTTGTCAGTCTTGTTTATGATCTAAATTCACAAATTCATAATATGAAGCCAACAGTCGTGTGATACAACAGTCATACCTAGAGGTTGGCTCTACAGGTACTTCGGCTTCGCAGATCTTTAACTTTATCATACAATGAATATGGTTGTAATCGATCATGACGCGCCTCACCGTTACTTACAGTTACAAAAAAAAAGGTTTCTAAGATTGTAGAGACGAGGATCATAAAAACTTCTATTTTTTACAGTAGGTAGGAGGTGTTTAAGTATGTTTTCTTAGTTGAGTACGGCAGCAGTGGGAACTTCTAGACTTTCTGTCTTTTCATGCTTTTTCAATCTAGTACGTTGACCACTCCTATGCCTAACAACCTCGTTCTAGGACGTCACATAAAGGCACTTTGATTCGGCTCGAATTCAAGGTACCACCAACGTATTTGTTGGTGGCACTTTCCGCATCCTTCAGGCTACCATTGCAGAAAGCGTAATACTATGCATCGATGAAGAAGGCTGAAAGAGGATTATTCTCAACTCTACTAGCGTCAACCTCGTTTGTTCACCCACACAAAGCCACTTTGATTCGGCTTGAGTTCAAGGTACCACCATCGTATTTGTTGATGGCACTTTCCGCATCCTTCAGACTCGCATAGGTGACCAAGAATTCGCCACTCTTCCTCGCTACAGCGTGGCAAGCCTCGACACGGCCAGCAGCCTGGAAAGCACGCTCCAAATCCTCGGCTTCCACACGCAGATTAGAAGGGAGGGGGCTTACTCAAATGCACTCGAATTTACGACGAGGGCTTACAGTTCCAGAATACCGAAAATAAGAAGGCAGAACGAAGGACGAACCCACGTATGAACAATGTAAATCTGAAAATAGTCACCTTAAGCTGGTCGTGCTAGTTCTACTTACAAGTGTAAGCTGCTAGAGTACAAGAATTTTTTACCATAACACCAGGAACATTGGATACTCGGACAACGTGGCGGTTTCCTCGGGATCTCTCTCGTCGAGGGCGACTGCTGCTTGGTCTCTTACGCCCACGACTGTTTTGGCCGCGTCCTCTTGCTGGAGGCATATCGCTTTTTCTGTTATATTTTCAGTTTGGATTTGATGGTTAAGAATGTTTCTTGTTGGCATGTCGTATGATGATGTGAAGATTTCGAAAAGCATTCTTTCGCAGACTAGGAACTACTTTGCCCCATTATTACTGGTTGTAAGGATGAGGAATTGATTTGCATTAGACTTAAAGAGAACCAACAGCAGAAGTTATCGAGTAGAAATTACTATGTATGTGAAGAAATACCCTCCATCCTCATAGCGCGCTCGTTTTCCTCCATAGGGCTGGTAACGCTCATCCGCCCACGAAGAGCCGTACTTCTCAGCACCTTGTTCGTAGCCACCATTGTCGTAGTAGCTACCTCCGTTGCCACCACCATTGTTGTCGGCATAGTAGCCACCACCTCCGTAGGAGTTATTGTACCCTTGGTTACCCCCATGGGCACCCTTATTTCCTCCATAGCTGTTATTTCCGCCATAGCCTCCGTTTCCATAGCCGTTGTTGTATCCGCCATTACCTCCGTAGGAATTTTTGCTACTGCTGTAGTTTCGGGCACCGCCTTGTTTGTTCCAGTTGCTGTTGCGCTTTTTATTAGACGTCGTGAGAGATCAGGATGCATTTAGGATGGCTCTACGCATGCCGAGGAAGATCATATTCACTGCAATTTTTCTTTGATTGATGTACCTAGTATTCGCGAGGTAAAGAGGCTACATTTCGTTGGGGGAGGGGGGGGAAATGCATGCATTGCCTGTTTCACGTTTTCATGTCTTGAACTCTCTGTTTGTACTTAGAGGCACGATGGCAGAATATCTTGTTAGAACCTGAGGACAATGAAATCAACATAATGTTCAACATTCCGCGTTCTTCGTCTTTTCTGTCATTTTTGCGCGTCTCCTTTCCTCTTTTGCCATTGCCTTTCTTCCCACGTTTCTCCGCACGTTCTGCCTTGACCAAGTCGTCCAAAGCCATATCCAACAAGTTTTCTTTGGATTTTTTTTCCACGCTGCCACTTCCTTCTTGTTTGGCTTTGGCACTGTTGTTTTTACTTTTAGCTCCTTTATTGCCTCCGGCAGATTTTTTCTCGGCAATGACATCATCTAGAGATTTTTCTTCGGTGATCTTGCTGGTCACCGCTTCTTCCTTCTTCTGGTCTTCATCCTCTTGTTCTCCGGATTCTTTCATCTCCTTGGCGGGAGTCACTTCTGCTGTTTAGAAGACGAGATTTTGACTTCCAAATTATGTATCTAATGTATTTATCTACAACAGCAAGAGGGAACAACTTGGGAACAGTTGTGAACAAGACCTCCAAACGATCATGATGCTGTCGCCACATAATCAACATTATGTACTACAATAACAAGTGAGTATAACACAAGCTGTAGGAGGAGGAGCAAGGAGTGATGTAATAATATATATCTTAATCTTTCTCTGTTTAAAGAGAAATACTGTAGGAGTCATTTTCATAATTTTCGTCGTCTGCCTGATCAGCGGTTTCGGTGCCTTTTTCTGGCGTCTCAACCTTCGACACCGGCTCCTCGGCACTCACTTGCTGCTCCTTTTCGTTGTCACTCATCTTGTGTTATATGTATTATTTTGGGTGGATGAGAAGTTTCTTATCGGTTTGCTTATGCTATGTGATGTCTATGTTGTACTACTACGACGCTAGGTTGCTTATTTGTGTCCCTACTGGATAATATCTACTACTTCATTATAAATATTACGTTGACGTATCCTGTTTTGATGATGTTATGTCGATGGCTGTCGTGACAAGATGTTTGACACGTTCCAACAACGACAACAACACACTTTTTCCATGTCGTGACGAGAACGAGAATTTGACACGTTCCAACAACAACAACAACAACAGAACCTTTGATCTTTATGTTGCCAACCCAATTTTTTCTCAGTGGCGAGAAGTGAGGATCTTCTTGTAAAATTTTTCATAGCTGCGAGGAGCATTGTATTGGATGATCCGGAAAGGATAAGATTGATATTCATTTCCACTGCAGACAACATTCATTGTGCTCTACATCAACTACTACATGATCTATTTACAATTTGAATTCAGATTTCTTGAAAATTCTAGACGTGCAGCCAGGTAGAACTTGCAAATTCAAGGCGTCACCCCACGACATCAGGCGTATTTCCAGCAAAGATCAGGCTGCGCTTATAGGGGCTCTGTTCAACGGTATCGTTCCTGGCAGGAGACCGACTACAGAACAGGCAGCAAACGAAAGAATAATGTACACGGGAGAAATCTTCGTCACAAGATCAGAAAAACATGATCATGATCCTTGAATAAATGATCGGTTTTTATTGTTTATATGCAGAGGTTGACATCCTCATTTGTCTCTGGAAATCGCTTGCTGGAAGATACTTAAGTGACTGAATTCTTCAAACTAAAAGCAAAGGAAGGACTCAACTTCCGGGTACTTTCTTCTACACAATTATTTTAGAAGCTGACCATTCTGTAGCCTAATCACCGACCAGGCAATAGAAGAAGTTTAGAATAATTCACACGGTACCCAACATGCTAGCACTAGTGATGTCAGTCGTCTACGATTTGCCTTGCCAAATAAACGTTAGTCGTGGTGGATGAGAGAAAACGTCGCTATCATTATCATTATCATGTTCAAGACGAAAGACATATAATTGAACCAACAATATTGTTCGAAGCAACTAGTACTAAGATCAAAAACAAGTACAACTAGATGGATCTTTATAAGTAGACCAAGAATATGCGATCCATACTTGCACTAACCAAACGAAATAAGAAAGTTAAGGGGTGTCGTCATGTACTAGGTACCCTATACTTCTACTTCTGACCTGATGCTTCTAGTAGTAAGAGTTGCTCTTTCACCTAGAAGCCCCTCGTAAACGAAATACTTCGTTCGTCTCAGGAATGCTTTCACCTACATAGAGTTAGAAGTCCCTCGTAAACGAAAAACTTCGTTCGTCTCACGAATGGTGTGAGGTGACACTAGCAATAGCAATAGCAAGTTTTGGACTATATTACGACGACTACCGAATGACGCGGCGCATCGTGCCTCTGACTTTCATCTTCATTACAACAGTGGCTGGAGTAAGTGAGGTCATTGTTGGCAGGTGAATGAGCAGGATAAAACTGTCCAATATCAACAGCTGAACGAAAAGTACAGTCCTACAATTAGTTGTGAAAAACGTCTTTTTGCTGTTCTTGATCATGGGCTGACCGACTCCCAAGAACCATTGAAACAAACTAGCTCGGTTGTGTTTGCTTGGCACAAATATTGTACAGGCCACGCAAGAAAGAGAGAAGATTCTTTTGAAACAATGCTAGTGATGACCTTCATACGAGAGCATATCAATGCTAGTAGTAGAGCAAAGCTAAGAACAAGAAAATATTCAACGCAATTTTTCTAGTAAATTGTAACATGAAGAACATGAGTATTGACCATATAGGTAGCTGTATGGAATCTGGTTCCATGAAGAAATATTCGTGGTACAACTATTTTAGTACTTAAGCAAACAACAGTCTGAATCTCCATAGAGATAGGCTATTAAGAAGGTGAAGGTAACTTATGGTTCTATAATCAAAACTGCACTTAAAGAATCTTAATCACGACAATCCTAGCCTTTTCCTACGAAGGAGAGCAAAACTTTCACGATCTTTTTTATCCTAACCATCAAGCTGTTGGTCCTCAGCCCCACGGCCTGTGTCAATACTCGATAAGGTGAGGCGTCTCCTTTTGAGAATGGCATTTTCACGATTATCGATATTGTCATAATACTCCCTCAGCCAAGCACCCTCTTCTACTCCTCTTCTTGGCGGTCGTACTGTCGGCTGATGGTGATGATCTTGTTGCTGTTCTGTACTGCTTCTGCTAGCGCCAGTTCTTGTACCACTGCCACTGCTACCTTCTGGTCCTCGTCGCGGTGGGCCCCAAGGATCTTCAAGTGGCCTATCTGGGCCACGCCAATGAGGTTCTGGAGCACCTCTTAGTTGTTGTGTTGAAGTTCCTGGAATTCTCTTAGGCGGTAGTTCTGGATGAGATCTAGTATGCAAACTTGATGCAGCTAGTGCCGCTGTTGGCCCGGTGGTAGAAAGAGCAGAGGAAGCACCAGAGGCACGCGATGAAGCAAAAGGATCATGACGAGGAGGTTCAAAAATGCTTCCAGGTCCTCTTAAAACCGCCCTTCGACTTTCTGGTGGTACCTCAGAACCAGGAAGAGATAATAGGCTAGATGGTCCTTCACTTGAATTTTCACCATCTATTCCTCCTCTATGAAGATCCTGTCCTGGAAGATCGTGTAGGAAGTCTGTTGATCCGAGAAGTGTTGACTTAGAGGTAGGTTTTTGGTGCTCGCTTACCCCGCTTTTTGTGCCTTTCTCATCCTAAGGGAGAGAGGCATAAAAAGCGGTAAGAAAAGCACCTTTAACCTACCCTTAATTGACGTAGTTGTCGGAATATAGGGTGGTCCCGGTGTCGTCATCGGTTCCTCATGGACAGTGTAAAAGTTGCTAACTGATTTTTCTTGTTGTCCCCTTAGATGAAGAGCTCGCATCAGGAGTGGCGTAGGTGATGTAGAAGAAGCTGGAATATCTGTGATAAAAGAAGACGTTGGATGAATCAACGAGGTCCTTGCCTTCTTGCAGTTTGGCACTACTGTAGGGGAAACCTCACCAGACTTTTCTGTCAACACTTTCGCAGAATCATCTCCCGTCCTAGAAGTCGGGAAAGAACGAGTACTATGACCATCAACATGTACTTTTGGTACTACTCTATCCAGTTCCACTTCCAACCAAGCTGCCCTGTCATCTCCTTTCATCATATCGTCATCGTCACCACTTCTCTGTACTAGCTCTACTGCTGAAAAGTCTCCTCCCTGCACGTTTATGTCCTGATCCTGGGATTGGAAACTATCTGCTTCTCCCTGAAGACGTAGCTGATCATGTCGTAAAAATAAAATGTCCTCGAGGGTATCTGCTTCTCCCTGAAGACGTATCTGACTCCCCTGCTCATCTACCAGCAGCGCTACTTCGGGATTTTCTAGAGTCCGCACTTCATCTAGAAGTCGTGGATCTTGCTCAAGGTCGTGTGGTGTTCGATTTATAGCCAAAAATCCCTCTTGTTCGGGAGGTAAAGCTGCGCGGATTAGAGTTCTTCGGAATTCGTTTCGATTTCTCAGAATTCGTTTCTCCAGGTGTAAATAGAAAGTTACTACTAGAAAAATCGAATAAAAAGAAAAACGTACGGAAAACGCAGCCTTAACATGACGCCAGTTGAAGAGGAAGCAGCTGTGCTGGATCTTCGCACTGCAATGGGAAGCTTGGAAATCCTGCGAAGAGGAAAGCTTGGAAATCCTCTTGGGAATGCTTCCGAAGATGGATTAGGCGAAGCCTCATTTTTAAGTTGTTCTAGTACAACATGCGGTGACGTTGGACCTGCATCTCGTTCAGCTAAGTCCCTAGAGGCTGGAGCTGATGAGCTAGACGAGGTATTAATGTCAGAACTAGGTGACGGATCTGGTACTTCAAGGTGGTCTTTAAACCCTTTGCGTGAACGCGTCCGCGCAGTACTAGCGAACGATCCTGGTGCAGCTAATGCGCGCACAACCATACGTCCACCTGGCGCTGCTGCTGCATGCACAAAAAATGTTGTTGGCGTGTAGTTTGTTGCCCTCTTTCTTGTACTTCTTGACGTCTCAACTTGTGTAGTAGAAGAAATTGACGTCGAGGACAGAAGAATATCAGATATTGAGTGGTCCTCAAAGTCAGGAATTAAGAGGAGGCCCCAAACCACAAGGCGGAAACGCGCAAAAAGCTGCTGTCGTGATGTTCCAACATCAGGGAAAGATCTCGCTTTCCTACTCGAGGAAGACATTTTGTTGATGTAGTTAATATTTATTCCCTTGTTCTTATACCAGTACGTAATCCTTACTTCTTATGTAGATAATTGTTCATGCTCGCGTCCTGTCTCCATTTGTCTTCCTTTCTTGATTTATCAGTATTGCCAATTCTTGAGTGAAGTGTATTCCAGTTCATCGTTCAATGCGCACCACTATACCTTCATCAATTCCTTTCTAGTACATGATCTGTCTTGAAATTGATAATGAAGAGTTCATGAGGACCTGATCATGATTACAAGAAACATAGAAACGGATCGAGAAACATGTCACTTAAAAAAACCAAAATTGTAGTTGTTACATCTCTTTCTAGATAGAAATTGTAGCTCTTGGTTGAATGATACCAGGACACAGAATATCACTCAACAGCGCTATCCTTTCCTTCCTGTCGTATGGTGTTTGGATGAAGATATTGATACTTTTACAATTGTAGTTTCAGTCTTTATCTCAGAGAGGCATCTACAACTTTCGCTGCAGCACCACCTAAGATATTGTTTTCTCCGAAAGTAAGCCAGGAAGGCGTTGGCGTTCGATCGATACCGATAGATTCTGAGCGCATAGTTTGAGTTTTATTCTTGAATTACTACTTGATATCCCCTGCGGCGCCACAATCATATGTGATTGGAGAGGCGTGATTTTTTTTCATTTCATCGTCTGCAGGAGATTTATTTTAGTAGAGACGTCAATAATCTGACGTGTAAATTATCTTCAGTCCCCTTGCTCCCCTAACGCTCGGTCATGTGCATCCTGCTGTGAGACCACAGACGCATCAGAGGCGGCATTATTCCCAACTACTGCCGGCTGCTCCGGAGGCTCGACCACCCTGGTAACAACCGAGGTCGTTGTTAGGAAATCCAGATAAAAGACTGCGCCAACAGCAGTATTTCTCTCAGCTCGCACGAAGACTTCCGTATCGACGTTGCCTAGTGCAAATTCGGCTCTCAGCCACGTAATGCTACCACGAATGAGACCGCACCACAGGTGAACGCTGTTGGCGCCATGTAGAACTGGTCGGAATTGGCGTATGAAGGTGGGGAGGTAGTGAGGATGCTAGAAGAGGCGTGGGCAGAGACCTGTGGGAAAGGGATCTAGAGGGATCGAGCAAGAAGTGAGAGAAAGAAGTGGGTACTAACTTCACAAGACAGCGACTTACAACTTCTATGAGCTTAGACTCCCAATCATAAGATTATCATGTATGACGAAGCCTCCTGTGTCTCTGTTCGCTTGTAGTCGGTCAGCTTGCTTTCCGAAACAAAAACTCCAAATTTCACGACATAAGAATTTCAAAGCATCCCGATGCTCGCTGATTACCTGTAATATAGTCGGATTTGCAGCAAGTTTCGATTAAGTACATGATACGTCTATCACTAAGTGGATTGGAATTGCTTTACTTCGTGCATATTAAAGTTGTCTCGGAAAACCTAACAACTAAAGCCTCTTTATCTTTTAAAATTCCCAATAATTCAACACTTTATTCAAGTTAAGTAAGTAGAGGACAGTCACAGTACCTTCTTCCTCAGCAAATACCTCGCCAAGTTTTGTCCTGCCCTGAACCCAACGGAGTCCAACTGCTCTGGGCTTAGTATCCTCTGAGCCGCATTCTGGAAATGCAAAAAAGCCGGATACGCAACGACCACATGGTCATCATCGTCGTTTTTGTGGTGTTGCAGCATTGAGGAAGAAAAATGTTTTATTTGGTGTCTTCTAGCCGAGGGTGAAGAGGGAGTAGCAGGATCCTTCATCATTTTCGGACACAGTTGAAGATGATGATTAGATGTGAAGAAGTGGTACTACTACTAGTAGGTATGTAGAAGTAGGTCTCAGTCCTCTCTAAATGTTGTTATAACTCGTGCTTCTCTTGCACGCCAGCAATTCCAACAGTTTTCAAATTTCAGCGAAAACCGTCGAGTCTCTGTTCGCACAGTAAACCGATGCTTTCTTACTCCTAGTGTCCTTTAATTACGTCTTCACTATCACGATCGCTTAGAAAAATTCCACATTAGCATAGCACAGAACACGACCAAAAAGCGAATAGGCATAGCAGCACCAACACTTAGTTAGCCTTTGGCGTATAAGCTTGAGCAGATGGATGAGTTTGCATCACGTTCATAGTGGTAGCATCTTGCGTTATCAAACGAAAGGTGCGGTACTTGTTCATCAGGCGCGTATCATGGTACAACTTCTCAGGTTAAGAGTCGTGATAAATCTCGAGAACAAGATTCCAGAAGGCATTTTCAGTTACTTGTTCTTTGACCTCTTTAGTTTTTCCATTCTTCCGTCTTGCTTATTCTCGTCCTTTCTCTTTTTCAAGGAGACCCTTTCTCCGAATTTAGGGAGTCCCCCTTCTCCTCCAATAGCTGCTGCACCTCCCTTAGTGCTATTTGCTTCGACTACCAAGACTCCTCCTGCTTTGTTTGCGCCACTTCCACCGATCCTTTGTTCTACTACGGTGGTCGGTGTTGTTAGAGGTTACGGAATTACATTCCTCAGGACATCCCTGGCTTCTTTTCTACTGGGAAAAGCGCTAGGGATGGTAGTGAGGAATGTAATTCGGAAACCCTTAATGTTGCTGAAGTTTTCGACGCCGTCGCTGTTGCACTGTCCGCAGCTTCTTCCTCGAGAGCTGGAGAAATCACGTCAGACCAAATCCTCAGCACCGCTTTCGTAAAAAGAGCAAACACCTGACTGACAGCCAAGCCAAGCTCCTTTCCAACTTGGTCAAAACTCTTGTGTTGCAATCCCACTGCGAGCAAGATCGCTGCCTGAGCCGCCGAGAGAACTAGAGGTTGACAAGAAATGTTGGTTGTCGTTGTTGTTGTTCCAGCGGAGGTAATAATATTTTGTGATGTTCTCTGTGCACTCGCTGCTAGTAGAAGTCGCCCTTCGAAATAAAGAGAAGCCAAGGGAGCCAGCAGGTCCATGATCAAGGGTGCTTCTGCTCGCTTGTTTGCGAACAACTCGATTCTATGAAGGTCGTGTCTCGTCATTAAGGGCAAAACGCATCTACGGATCATGGCTACTAAGGGGTTGGAGATGGACTCCTGCTCTTGCGCAGCCTTGATCGGACTAGAAGAACTGGAAGTGGAACTGGAAGATGAAGATCCGCCTTGTGGTTGTCCTACGACAGACAGAGCAACGTTGATTGGCCACTTGGAGAGCTGTTGGCTACGAAGCAAACGCAACATCCGACTACGGAAATCGGTTCCAAATTCTCGGAGCCACGTTGCTGAAGTCGCTTTTCCACTCCCACTGCTGACCAGCTGCATGTTGTTCTCGCTTGTGGGCTGCATAGTCCTCAGCAAAATCGCAGAGTGTTCTCCCGTAATATCGTTTGAGGTTTGTCGCACATAAACTGGAGAAAAACCCAATTTCCTCCAGAACTCGAACAAACCAAGTGTCACGCCAAAGGACGTTCCTAGCCAATCCAGCGAAAAAACTGGTCTTGTCTCGGTTACTTCCTTCAGCAGTACTGGGATTTTTGCTTTGGCAACCAATTGATGCTCGTCTTTATTGCTGTCTTTTTTGGAAGCAGAAGACGTGGCTACGTCAGCATCTTCATCCTCTTCTTCCGACGCATAGCCTGTTGCCGGAGCCATCTCGCCTTCGGTCCATCTTATCAGTTGCCGGATTGCCTCTTGGCCGTAGCCCTGTCGCATGTAGCTCGGGTGCGTCGCAATACGCACGATCCGTGCACCGCGAAGACTGCCAAAGTTGGCATCTCCGAATTGTTGGCTGATTGTCCAACTAATCAAATCGCCACTGGGTCGCAGGCCACGTGCGAGACTGGCAGCGACTGCCTCTTTGTTCAATGCGCCTTCACTGGCCACGTGGATAGCAACAAGGATTTCCGGGATCTAAGAATTTTTTGAGGTGATAGAAACGGTTTTCCACTAGACAATTTTAATTTGCAACTCATGATCACTACGATTATAAAACAAAGACTATGAGACTGCAAATCTCAGACTGGGGCGGTCACTGTGTTGTCTTCAACCCGTGACAGTTCGTGAACTGCCATCGGATCAGAGGTGTCCCAAGTACCAATCATCACTATAGCAGTCCTGTATCTAGAAATGGTTCTGTCCAACATTAAGTACCTCATCTTCGCCGCTTTCATTCTCACTGGGTCCCAACAGCACAAACAAGTAGTGTCCCGGAGCATCGGATAGCAGGATCAAGTCGTTCGGACTGTTTTTGTAGTGAGAGGCAACGAAGAGGCCCATCATTTTCTTCAGGAATTTCTCACTCGCTTGATGATAGCTGAAAAGCGCTGTTCGGTCGACTAAGAAGAGTTCGCATTCGGATGGCATGGGAAGGATTTTCTTGCTCGAAGAGGAAGAAGAATTTTTGTCTTTGCTGCTGTTACCATTCTTGGTCTTCACTACTGCATCGCTTGCATCCAACAAGCACAATTCGTTGAGCCAAGCCTCTACACTATCTCCGAAGGCGTAACGAATCGGTTCTGTTAGCAGAATCTCAGCTGACAGCTGTTTTTGGGCTTTCAAGTCCTGCAGCAGCTTGAGACTCAAGCTACGACCGGTACCTTCGTATCCGTTCACTGTCGAGGACATCAGCACTAGATATGGACCCAGCATGCTTTTCACCGTCGGCAATGGAATGGCAGCCGCTTCATCGATTACGAGCAGTTCTGCCTGTCCCAGAGCACTGACGTTTTCTGGTGGAAGGTATTGGATGGTCTGTCGGTGCTCCTTGTAAACGTTGACACGGACAATAGTGCGAGAGACGTTGCCGCGAGAAGAAGAGCCGGAAGCGCCTGATGCAGAACCGGCGAGAGCACTGCTGCCAGAGGAGTTCGCATTATTTCCAGAAGGATTTCCATCTTTGTTGTTCGTTTGCACGATTACATCATAGTCTTGGTGCTCCACATACCCGATAGCATCGAATCCCTTGAGCAGGAATTCGAACACGGTCTGCAAGTTCTCCGGACTCGGTGCGGTGACGAAGATGTTCGAGTATCCATAGGCAATCGCACTGGCCAATGCCAGACCTAAACTCGCACTCTTTCCCCGTCCACGACCTGCGGTTAGAGACACGGTTTGCCTCAACGTTTTCTCGGAGATCACGTCTACGAACTGCATCAAAGCTTGTGCCTGCTCTAAAGTTCGTGCGAGGTTCAGCAAATTCCCCAAAGGTTGAGCGTCTTTCAACTCCTGTTTTAGAGAAGCTAGTTCGGCTTGGTTCTGCGACTGGAGCTGAGCGATTTCGAGGGATGAAGAAGCGGCAGAACCAGAAGTCTGCTGTGCTGAAGCATCTTGTTCACCTCCATTCTGCAACTGTCCCACTACACCCTGAAGATTTCCTTGTTGTTTCCAATCTCCCACAAACGCCTTGTTTTTCGCAATAGGCAAGACGTTTAGTTCATCATCGACCACTAAACAAGTGTCGCAACGCACTAGAGAGAGCAAGAAACGTTCGTTCCATCGCGGCTCAAAGTCGCTTTCCTTGGAAAATTTCTGATGAATGTCCATCGACACGTTGTACAATTGTCGTAGAGACGACATGCTTTTCAGGAGAAGGACTACGATTCCGCCACCGGCGACCTGTAAAAATGTACTTAGTTAAGTATGTAGAATAATCATGTTCTTTTTTCAGGAACAAAAGCTTGATGATGTCAAAAAGAATGGAAATCGAAATGAAGATAGGAAGATAATCATTTGATAGAGTGATTGATGATCGCAAGACGAACAATCACACCCAAAAGTAAAAGATACTCAAGAAAAAGAAAATCTTGTAGTACCGTCTCCACGGTCCGACACAAAATATTCGGCGTCAACGCTTCGAAATCCTGCAAGACCAACATGGAATGGGTCTTACCCAACACTTGTTCTGAGTCTTTGTAATAGCAATAGCGAATGTCTGTGGCACTAGTGAAGAGCTCAAAAGGATCCTCAATGTTAGGATCATACTCGCCTTTTGCGATTTTCCGCTTAATCTCTTTAGCGCGAGACTTTTTATGACTCGAAAAGCCGAGCTCCTTCTTGTAGCACCAGAGGACCTGTGGATGTGGATTTTGTGGCGGTTGGAAATCAACGGACGAAGATTGTCTTCATCTTCATGAAACTTATGATCAGGGAAGAAACAGAAACGTAAATCTCATCTCACCTGTTGCTGTTTCTTCGCTGACATCTTCGACAGCATGAAATGCAGGTTCACCAGCTGCTCCCTGCCTCTGTCTCCGAGGACGACGAAGAAGGCTCGCTCATTTCGGCTGACGCAGTGTTCTAGGAGGCTGCGGACCCTAGGGTCCACCTTCTTTTTGCTGGAGGTGTTAGCTTGCGTCATGGTTTTGTTGATTTCTTGGTTGTAGATGGATGTCGGAAAATGTTGTAGGTGGAGGTAATATAGTGATGAGATAGAAGTCTGAGTCTTTACGTTATTATAGCCAAATCAGTTTGCAAGGAAAAGTGCGCGTGTTACATATTCAACGCTTAGTCGTTTAGGAACTGCTGGAAGTACTGAAACATATTTCACCTGCTACGAGGATGACAAGAAAACGATGGGCGGCATGCGAAAAGATGACGATTACAACATACTAACATATTAATATTTGTCTTTGCAGGGACACTGCTTGCGCAGGATCAGAAAAGGAAGTCGAACAGAACAAGATGACTGATCCACATGGAGGAGCTTTTACAGGACTGTCAGTACAATCCGGATCTCAGGACTGTCAGTACAATCCTCTAGATCTTCTGTTGCTTTTTGAACTATGTCTGTGATCCTGAACAACATGCCCTGTTCTATTCATTAGATCATGATGGATCATTTTCGTGACATGTGTCGACTTTGTCAACAAGAACAAACATGGAATCATGCTTCAGCCAGCTCTTTTCTATAAGGATTTTCCTTCACATTCACACGTGGACAGAACCAAAAACAGTTCAACTAAAATCCTACAAGTTCGTGGTCAAGCTCATTTTCAAGTTCATTGCAATACTTGCATACTCTTTGTTCGTTGTCAAATTTATTATTGAAGTGTACTTATTGCAAAATTGATGCTTACTAGATCTTCTTGTTGTACCGTTTCTTGTAGACAATCATAATGTCATGAACATTCACATTGGTTGAATCAGCATGGATATAGAAATGGACTAGAATTATCACAAACTATTAAGTTCGAAGTAGTGTCTAGTGCAGTGTTAGTTCATTCTTCCTGTGCATAATCTTTCCATCAGCCCTTATCAAAAAATCGCTTTAGTGGTCAGACTCTGCAACAGTCTTCTCTTATAGCTATAGTACTCCCACGAGCGTACCAGCTCTGTGTAGTTGTAGTTCTAATCGATCATTCATGCTAACATATTTCAACATCACAAAAGAGTTCGCAGTTCAAAATCGAAGAAGTTCAGTGAAGAGTTCAAGATTAAGCAAGTTTGTTCATTTTATGCTTATTTCTGGGTCTAAGTGGAAACGTAAACGCATGTGTAGAAGAATGGGTTCGAAAATGACATCAACATCACTCGTAGTTTCAAACTGTAGCACCTACTGCGGAAAATAGCCTGCTCCTGTTTGCTTTTAGTTTGTATATATAACTTCTATCTCTTCACAAAATCAACACCGGAACCTAGCTCACGAAATCAACACCGGAACCTGCCTCACTACCGTATGCTCCAACTCACTTTGTGATTCTAGAGGCGACGCGCCGCTCAATTCGCCTCCAGTCGATGATGACTCACTTGGACTAGTGCCTTGTCTCGCTTTAGTGTACTCCACTCTCGGTTTGGAAGCGGTTCTAGGGACTACCATCACTTCAGTTTCTGATGCTGAAGACGTCGTGTTCTCTCCACCTCCGAGGATTGTGCTAGCGTTGGTGGAGGGTACTTCTGCGCTAGTTGCTGCAGCAGGAGGGCGCTTGGAGGCAGTGACTTCTGATTGTCGTACATTTACATTGTTCAGAAGTTGTGTTGAAGAACTCTTAGGTGGACCACCGGTCGTTGGTTTGGCGCTAGACACAGCAGCAAGGGTTGGATCAACAGCGTTGCCCTTGAACGTCTGGAGACCCTGGAAGGTCTGGAGGTGGGTACCTAAAAGAATAACGGTTGCTGTAGTTGAGCAAATGTTGATGTGATAAGAATGTTCAACTTTGAGCTGTGAAAAGTTGTGGTTTGGAAGAAGGAACAAGAAGCCTTCTCCTTTTTTTTCTACACATAGTACTCCTACTCCTAGTCAATGTCAATCAGGCAGTTTACCACCACAAAATGATTACCTTCCATACACCTATCCGACACGAATTCACGCATATCGATTTCCCCACTCAAATCCGGATCAAACGATCGCCACAAGGTCGCCAATTTCGTTTCCGTAATCGATTCACCCAAGACTCGCGGTAAGTACTTGACAAATTCTTCGAAGTCAATGGTCCCACTACCGTCGATATCGAAATGCCTAAACCCATTCAGCAGTGAATTGCCGTGTTTCTTGTAGATCTTGGCACGGATCTGGTCCATGCTCATCTGCTCAGCTAGGATTAGATGCGCCACGTACCACATTGATATCCTTCGATCCACGCACCCTGGCCCTTTGTTCCTACTTTAAAGAAAGGGAGGCACACAATCAAAGGGATGCTGTGGAGGATGCAACTGCGGTAGCCTTAACGGAAGGGACATTTGCTCAGCATCTCTGGAAATTTGCGGAATCGAAGGTGCTTCGTGTTCAGTGAGACGTCTAAGAACTTCCTCAGGTTTGTCCGCTAATTGGGATTCGTCAACGCCCCATTCGAGAGAAGCCTCACTATCGCGAATCGACGTGCGACGCTGGACACGGCAGGCGGCGTCTGTTTTTGATGGGAGTGAAATTAATAGATGATGATGGATGCAGCGAAACGTGCAAAAAATGATAGCAGTCTCATTTTTCTGCATTGACAGGCATCAATCCTGGTGGAGCACGAGCATGAACAAGAAAGTGTACGAGCTACACGTAACAATTTCATTGAATTTATTACCAACTCCATGCAAGCTCTGCACTAATTTTTCATCTCTTCCGCCATCCTTTCGGAAATCCGCATGTCGGTGTAAAGAATGCGACGCTTTGTAGGTCGAGAATTTCCTCGCGAATTCTTGATATTGCAAGTTTCCTGTACCATCTTCGTCAGCCATAGCCCACAGCTTGTCAACCTGGTCTTGGGGAAGGTCGAGGCGGGGCTTAGAGAAGTTGGTGTGGGAACAAGAAGGGAGAAAATCAACGCGATATTAAAAGCAAAGTGTGACCTAAGTACCGACTTAGGTAGTCTACGGTAATTATATATGGAACACTGTGCCAACATACAAAAAACCAAAAGTCAGACTTCACTTTTGTTCAAGAACAGATGCAAAATAGTTATGCTTTCAAGGCCATAACACTACTCCTCAAACCTCGAGTAAACTCCGCACGACTGATGCAGCCATCCCCGTTTTTATCAAACGCCCTGAAGGCTCCGATGATAGTCGAGAACTTCTTCTTGATTTGCTTGCGCAATGCTTCGTCTGTAAGTTTGGCTGTGGCATATTTGCGAGGGTTGTCTTCTTAGAGCTTCCCCCAATTCATCCCTGTGTAGGGATCCCGCAAGAATTTGCCTCGCATACTGGCTCCCTTGTAGCTTGTATTGGGACGCATACTTCTGTTGCGGGATCTGTCTCATCTCTACAGAGATGGATTAGGGGAAGCCTTAATCTTTGCCTCCAAACGATGCTCCAGCATTCTCGGTGGCACCGGAACTAGAGCTCTCAACAAACGGTGTCCATCCGCCAGATAGTTTCGTCTCTACAGTTTCAACAACCTTCTTCGCTAGCCACTCGGGATGAGGCCATTTGCGGAGGGTGAGCTTGGAGAAGACTGGTATCTAGTATGTTGGTTGTAGGGGATTCACTTTGGAAATTCAACTAGAGCAACTATCATCTAGAGTGCGCTTGTAGCAGAGGACTGGGATCTGAGATTCAGGATATATACGGTTCGTTCAACTTCAAACTGAAATTTTCACAACAACATTAAGGCCATAAAATACAAGACTGAATACCCTTTGTTTCCCCTTGACCACTGTGACCTCAAAGCTTCCGACTCTTGGATAGCAAAACGTCACATCCGGAAACCACCGTTGATTTCGTTCGTTCTTGACCATGGAGTGCCAGAGTTAGAGCCAGCCGTGATCCATCTCGGTCCCCTCGTCTCGACCCCCCTTCCCATGAAATACAAGGGGAAAGGGTATCGAGAAAAGATGGATATTATAAAACAAAGCTGACCTTAACAGAGTTTCGGATTGTACGTCGATTGCTTACAATGCATCCCGTGAGCACGAGGACCAGGATTACAGGAGTAGACATAGTCCATATCCTGGGCAGCAGAACTGAGACATTCTAGAAAGCGGTCCTCGTATCGGTCGTAACGGCTTTCGTCATGCCTAGTGTGCCATTGGGAACTGGCACAGTCAGTAGACCGTTCCAGTTCAATCTGAACGCGGGATTCCATTGTTGTTGTATGCTTTTTTTGAATGCAGGAGTCCTAGTACTCAGGAAAGTCTAAAATAATCTGATGGCTTCTCAGTAAAAATGGTTCAATGAACCTTCTTTTCTCAAATGGTGCATCGAATAGACGAGAGCAACCGCATCCATCCGCAATATTGAGAGATGCGACAGGTACGCACGAAGACGAGCATGGGCGAGGACAGCACTCCCATTTGCGATAGGTAGCACGCAAGAAGAATGACAATGGACAGTTGGACCTCCATGAAAAAGCGATTTCCGAAGAAAAATGTGCGCGAAGAGAAAACGACAATTATAAGTAACGCAAGGGATGACAGAGAGTACTTAATTTTGCGTAAGTACTTAGCAATATTAGCGCGTCAGTGCGTTCAATGCTGCAACTGCAATTCGAAGAGAACAAAAAGACTGGATGAGAACTAAAACTATACTGTTTCTGAAGAAAACTGAAAGTAGGGGGTAAGTATACAAGATAAGAATTCATGAAAACAAAACTTAGGGTGAGAGAAAAAGAAATCAAGCGTAGAGAAATCAATTCAACAAAGAAACAAGCTCTAATAGATTACAGAACCTACGACGGAAAGGGAAATACGAAGGAGATGATCTCAATCCAGAATTTACTGAATAGTTGCCAACAACCCCAGAGCGCGCAACTTCTCCTCTAAAAATGCGTCCTCACAACTCAGATCCTCACCTCCCCCAACCGTATCAGCCGAGGCGGATGCGGAACAAGTCTTAGAATTGGACTTGGTTGTAGAGCCACCAGATGATGCAGACGCCGCAGCACTACCAGATGACGAAACTCCTCCACCGGGACCTCCACCAACAGGACCACCAGTCGGATTCGATGCAGAGAGTAAACTACGTACACGTGCTATTTCAGCATCGATATCGTCTTCTTCTTCGACGTCTGACGAGGTCGCCATAGGATCAGGTGGATGAAGTCTTTTCGATTTCGATGACTGCCTATTTGCTGCATTTATGAAACCAAAATATGCTATCATTATCATACTTTTCTACTTAAGAAACTTGATAATGATAACAGATTTTCTTTTCATAGCATTATTTGGTTTCGTTCCTACTGCTCCAGTGCCATCGTGGTCACCATCGGCCAACCAGGCTGGTGGCACGCGAACAGGAGAAGCATCTAAGGAGACACAGTCGTGGTCGAGTATGGGTGCTTTGGAATTGGAAAGTTGATCCTCTGCTTCAAGTTCAACGTCCTCTAGCGAAGATGATTTTCCTCCAACATCTCGTTGTCGTCGTTTGTCTCTTGGTGGGGATTTCTCCCCCTCTTCTAATACCTCTTCTTCACGTCGTTTGAAAAAGATCTCCCTGAAATAGGCAAATTCCTCTTCATCCGAGGTACCGATCTCCCTCTGTGCTCTTAGCGGTGGATGATTTTCTGACCACCTATTGTTCTTCACGGCACCTGAGGATGTTGATGAGCCACCTCTACCAGCAGCGAGTCGTTCAGCTTCTGCGTCCACACCACCGCCAGAACCAGACCCAGGTTGGTGATACAACAAATCGTCGATCAATTTACTTGAGATTGAATCCTTGTTCGGATGTTGTTGATTCATGTCCCCTCCTCCATTGTTCTTCCGAAACATCGCCTTAGGACTATTCACTGGCGAGTTCTTCATCTCACGTATGCGATGCAGCTCTTGCAGCCAACCAGAAGCGAGAGTGGCACCTGGGTCACCTCCACCTCCAGAGACTGCTAGTGTTGAAGTTGATAGCACTACGCTTGCTCCTGCCGTTATACTGGCCACTGGTGCATTGCTCGAAGAACTACCACCTCCCAGCATAGCCATACTACTTGTTCCTGAAGTAGATAAACCTGCTTTCAATTGTGCCAGTGCTTTTTGTTGCGCAGTATCGGACTCTGCTGCCTGTTTCAACGCCTTGAGACCTTCATCGATAGAAGCTAGTTTGGCCATGTCGGTTTTATCTACGAAAGAGCGCGGTTTACTTGCAGGCGAAGTGTCGGGACTCGGAACGAATTGGTCTCCTGCAGATGAACAAGGCTCTTCTATTGGGGAAGCTGCTCCGTCAAAGAGAGACTTGAACTTTTTCTTGAGTAAGGCATCATCGTTATCTGCTGATGGGAGTAGTGATGCTGAGCTGTAGGCATTGTCTTTTACAACTGCAATGCTAGAACTGGAGGATGACTTGTTTGCTACAACTAGCGCACTTGTCGTGGGGTCAGGAACAGCTTCTCGACCAGTTGTTCCGTCATCAACATCTCCTCCATCATACTCTAAAGCACGTGGATGAGCCTTATTTCCTATCAGCAACTGCTCTAGCAAGTCTTCCTGAGCTGCAGTGAAGGCTGATGCGGCCTTACCGGTGGCAGGACTACCTTCAATACTGGTCTTATTCCGCCGCTTTCCTGTCGCCCCTCCTCGCATGCGTGACGGCGTTGATGCTACACTATCGCTCTGTCTGGATGATGTCTGATTATTCATCCCGCCCATTGCCGCTTCTGCTGCTGCTGCTCTTTGCATCTTGTTCATATGAGAACTTCCTCTGCGGCTCGAGGAGCTGGAACTACTACAACTCGACGCAGAAGAAGACGAACTGCCTCCCGCTGTTGTTGCTTTCGAACTACTCTGCTGTCTTTTGATCCTCATCTGCTCTAAGCTGTTCTTATCGCCACTCTTGTTGTGTCCACCTCCGGCTACGAGAAGGGATGAAGATGAGAAGGTATTATTAACAAGCGCACCACCTGCATTTCTGCTCTGCCCATCTACCACTTCATCTTCTGCAGTAGATAATTGGTCACTCTCTGAAGACTCGGCAGCATTCGAAGAATTCCATCTATCCCAGCACACTAGACTGCCGCTAGCTTCTAACGGGAAATGCTCCAGAGATTCTTCAGCCCACGATGAAGGGTCGCGACTGGCAGAACCTGAAGCTGAAAATAAAGATTAAGATTGATTTCGTATGAATTTTGTACGGCCCCACAAAACAAAGGTCACTGCAAAATGGTGCTTCATATTCCCTTACCCAGAAAGGAATAGCTGAAGTAGACCCTCTTAACATGATTACAAAAGACGGTAGATACCGGAATTCCCAGCTCCGCCTCCTTTCTGGTGACTGCCTGCCACATTATTACCGGGCACCCGCCTCTTCCCAAGATCAGCGTGGTCCGCCGCAAGCAAACCTTGTTCGACCAACTTGGCTACAGCTTCTTTCCGTTCTTTTTCGGTTTCGCCTGTGTCGGACCTGGGTGGCAAGCGCAAGATGGTGATTGCAAAAGTCTACTTAACGAACTATGAAATGCAAAAGATAATCTCCTGCTCGAGGCTGTTACTTGATACACGCGCCGCCATGATTCAAATAACAACCAGAGATGTGAGGTTGTGATATTATTGAATGAATGAATGTAGATGTACCCACTCCAGGGGTATTGAAGACTTCCTCACTACTATTGAAAAAGAAGTTAAAAATACTAGCACTGTTGAAAAAGAAGTTGAAAATACTAGTACTGTTGAAAAAGAAGCTAAAAATACTAGTACTGTTGAAAAAGAAGTTAAAAATACTAGTACTGATGTTGGAAAAAAGAGTATTAATATTATAAATAGTACTGTTGTCTCCTCACACATTGCAGTTCTGTAGTGCTTTTCTGCTCTCTTCGCTCCATATTCTGCAATATATCGTCCAACCGCGCTATTTGATTCAGCCCTTCTTCTATCAATTCGCACTCTTCGGGAGAGTAATTGCCGGAAACGAAGGTTATCCGTTCTCTGCGTTCTCTCTTGGAGGTGCTGCTCTTGGAGGTGCCGAGTGGGACGAGCTGTGGAGTACGAGTCGTGAAGGTTTGATCATGAAGTTGAAGACGTCGGAGTCAATTTGTTTCACCCGCAAGAAATTCAAAATCAATGATATTCGAATTCGATACTGAGAACTCCTAAGGTCGTAAATTAGAGCTCACCCTTACCCGTCTGGAGACGCATCCTGAGACCGTTTCCCCCTTGAGGACGTCTCTGCGATGCTTCCGAAGATGGATAAGGGGAAGCCTTAAGTATCACTATAGATGCTAGAAAAGTGAAATCCTATACACAGAAGACTGTCTATCAGTACTACCTGCGTGGACCGCAATCCTCCAACATCCCCACCTCCATCTTCTCCATCTTCGTCTTCTTCTAAACAGCGTGTCAGAAATGTTGGGAGAGTTTCTTTGGAATTGCTTTTGCTACCATTTTTAGTGCTCCCCCTGCCCATCTCTGCTGCTACATCCGCGACATCTTCAAAGGCTTCAGGAAGATTGCCGCTGTGAGAAATATATTAGAGTGAAGTGAGGAAATAAAACTGCAGTGTATCTATAAGTACAACTGATGATGATGATTGTACCTAAATACTAGAGGTGAAGTTAAGTGCTTACTGCCTGTCCTCCGTCTCCGAATCAAAAATATAAATGTACTTGACTTTCATATAAATGTAGAGCTACATGAAGATACCGTAATCATAAATCTATTATATGCTACTATAGGTATAGTACCTCATCTTCAACTCCTGCACGTACAGCTCCAAAGCCAGCTGCCTGTCTTTCTGCGTTGCCTCATGCGCATCCACTATGCTACTCACGGCGCTTAGGGATTCCTTCGCTTCTGGAAGCCAGGCTTGGTAAGGCGTATCATCTATGACGACTTTTTCGCTTTCGCTTTGGAGTTGTAGCCTCAAAGCCATCCGATCCATTTCGGCGTCGTCGAGCAGCGCAGGAGGAGCGGTGGGACTGTGTAGTCAACGTACAACTCATAGTACACTAGCTGCTAAGTTTTATATTTATAAGTAGAAGTACATTTATAAATGCTTAGGTAAGTAGGTAATACCTTCCATCCACATCATCAATATCCTGCAAGGCAAGGGCGAAATTGTGCTTACCACCACCGTTCTCACCCGTTGCATACTTCCCAGTCAGCAGACCACGAATGAGCGCATTGGCTTCTCCAGTGGCTGTGCCGGATGCGTCGTCGGAATCATCAGCAGACGTTTTTCCGTCACGCGGCTTTGTTTTCTGCTCTGGTTTGCCTCGCGTTTTACCTCCAACACCAGTCGGCTTCTTCTCTGTGGTGATTTTGGATCCCGAGCGCTCTGCTGTACTGGCCGTGTTGACAGTGCCTCCACCATACGTTTTTGATTTTTCTCGACTACTCACTGAAACACCGATAGCGTTCTTCGTCCCACCACTAGCAGACATAGCACTCCCATCTTTCTTCCCCACCAGCATCTCCTTCAATGCCGCACTACCTCCACTGGCTGCTCTCACACGCTCTGAGCCACGTCGTATGAACTGCTGACTTGGTCCCCTTACCACAGCCTTGTTTTTACCTCCACTACTAGCATTAGGATCATCAGCAGCGTTCTTCCTCACCACAGGCCCAGAAGACGATGACGCAGGTATCCTACCTTCACCTAGTAAGTTGTCGATTGATGATTCATCTGCTAGTAATATTGGACCCCCTGCTACTACTATTGGACCTCCCGCTGCTGCTCTACCTGCAGGAGAGCCAGAGTTCGGATGAATTACAGGTGCCATGACAACATCGCCATTATTCTGCGCGTGCATGTTGATTTTAAACGTTGCATGATTGATTTTTTCGAGTGCAACAACTGCAGAAGGAGGACCTGCGCCACTTGCTCTTCTGCTGCCTGATTGGCTAACGGCAGAAGTACTGCCAGCATTGCCTCCAACTTTCAGACTTACAGTTTTAGAGATTGGTTTCTTCGTTCCGACGTGTTTATTCCCTGAGGAATCTGGCCTAGTACCTCCAGATGAACTACCGGTTGATTTGTGCGAGCCTGGACGACCGGATAAGGGGAGACTGTCTAGTATTTCGGTTGGGTCTTCGCCTTCACCCAATATCTGCATCCGTGGCGCGGATGTCGGTCGGCGCTTTAAAGGATTCATTTTGTTCTTAAACACGTATTTGCTGAAATAATTCTAGTGTGATAAAAAAAGACTCACTTTTCACTTTTCCTTTTCTTCATTCTTCTAATTGCCGCAAGATTTCTCCCGAGGTCTACTTTTCACTTTTCCATTTCTTAATTCTAATTGACGCAATATTTCTACTTCCGAGGGAGTGTGAATGGCTCCTCGAAACCGATAGCGAACAAACGACGGCTCCTTCGCGAAACTTGCTCTCTTTTTTCACCTCGAACGATCATACCGACACTTTCTGATTCTCAAGCCATTACTTTGCAGGATGGCTTTGACCGACGCGGTGGATGCCGATTATCGCTTCAATTTTGACCGATATATCATAGTGGACACTCTTCAATGCAGGGACGAGAAAATGTTTTATTACAGTTTGCGTCTAATGAAAGCTGTTCAATGAAGAGAAACTACCAGAGACAAAGCAGAAGTTCGATGTTTGTGTTTTTGTGATCTTACAGGTAGTTGCCGGCATTTGACTACAATACGGTGCTCCTCCGGACTCGGAAACGATCAATGAATTTCAAAAACGACTAATCATGCTACTAAAACTAAGGTTGTTGGAGATACTCTATGTTGATATGCTATGTTGACTACAACAAGACTTGTTCTACGATCATGCAAAAATTGAGACTGGTGGACTTCTTGGAAATAACAACTCTCACGGCGAAGATCGAATTCGAAACGCACTGTTCAATAACTTTTCAGTGTATACTCATTCTTGTCCATGGAGAAACTGACACGGTTTGAGAAAAACTAGTACTTACGAATGTTGTATGAGGGCAAAAATGCTTTACTTCCCTGAAAGAAGTTTGACTTGTGTTACTTCATCCCCCTGTAGTTCCTATGTACCGTCCCCCACTGCCACTGCTCCCCAACGATTTTATTCCACCTGTTGTGCAAGTAATTTCTATTGCTATTGCTATAATGTTCATTTTCATGTTCTCACAACTGCTTTTTCCACCCACCTCTACTTCATAATAATATATCCCTTCCATTCATCCCCACCTCTTGATTCATCCAAAAATTCTGTTCACAGCCTCGCAACTGTTGTATCAGAGAGAAGTAATGCCCGGTCCTGCCTCCTAATTTGATCGTCGAGTCGTCTTCCTCGTCGCGGTCCAGTGCACGATAGATGAAGAGCAACCGTGTCAATCCCAACTGGTCCTCCAGATAAGCCTTCACGCACTCGAGTCTGTAAGCAATCGAATCGCCCTTGGCGAAATTGGGAAGTAGCAGGGTTTTGTTCTCGTGGAGGAATTTCACTGGAACGTGGGAGGTTGGAGGACTTCTTGTTGATTTAGTTGATGGATATGTTTCTCGTGGTAGTGGTTTCTGATCGAGGTCCTTTAGAAGTTGTGCTGCTTGTTGTTCATGTTGTTGAAGATGTGATGTAAGAGGGCGATCAGAAAAATTCTGTTCTTGTTTATGCTTCTCTACTGTTCTTTGATGATGTTTTTCATCCTGGTGCTGCATTTTCAACTCCCACACTTGTTCTACTTCCGTGGTCTTTGTGTTTCTCTTGCTCTTGTTTTCAGCAGTTGTAGAAGCACCCTTTCTTGGTTCTGATTCTGGGTAAAAGAGAAAGTCGTATTGTTGTTTCTTAACAGGAGCTTCATTTTCTGCGCCACCTTTAGCTGGTGGAATATCGATATCCAGAGTTTTCGACAAACCCAAACTCCCATCCGTTTTCTGCGCTGGTTCTGCTACCAAGACGATGAGGCTACTATCATTATTATTGTTCATCTGGACATCCTGGTGCAGGTTGCGCTTGTCGTGGTCGTCTGCTTTGTTGTTGTTGTTCTTCGCGCCAACTCCGTATCCCTGAATACGCTCGTCAGTATCAGCATCAAGCAAAGTAGCAGCTGCCTTTCCACCCGGAATTTCGAAGGCTGTAAAGTACTCATGATCTGGATTGATGTTCTCCAGGTTATTGTCGTCCGGTACACCTACACGACTCTTGTCTAGTACCTCTATGCCAGTGAAATACACGTCTTCCGCCTCGTCGTAAGGTCGTGCGGGAGCTTCCTTAGAAGTATTCTTTGAAGAGGTACCACCAGTCGTGGTTGCAGACTGCTCAACACCCTTCTCAGTAGTGCGTTGCATAGGTTGGAACTTCATCGTTTCTTCTGCTGCTGTTGTACAACTAGATTCATCCTTGTTCGACAGCTGGAAACGACCAGTGGATCCAGGCGAGCGGTAATGCAACATACGCGCGCGTACTCTTCGTACAATTGTTGGCTGTTGCTCTGAACTCGCGACCTTGCTTTTCCCCGTACTCTCCACCACCGTCGTGGTACAATTACTACAACTAGATCCGTTCTTCGGTGGAAGAATCTCTAGCGTGGTGTCGTCGTCACCTGCAACTGGTGCTCGTGCCTGCTTATACTGCTGATCCTGATCGTGACCGTGCCCAGCGTAAATTGCGGCTTCAGGATTCACTGAGGGTGTGAGATTTGGCGAGATTGGAAACTTGACGACGATGCTAGTCAATTCGGATTGGACCTACGACTTCCCTGAATCTCTTCTGAGTTCTACGAATCTTCCCCAATCTCTTCTGAGAGATTGGAACCTTAAGCCGAACAAGGACCTTTCTGAATCGCAAACATGATGTCAGAATTTCTAGGTACCCTTAGCATCCGCTTCCGCTTTTTGGCGCCATCTCTCTCGCACTGCGTCAATTCCACCTCGCAAATACGCGTTCAAATCTTGATGTTTCAAGGGTGGACTCGAAGATGCACCAGATGAAGGGACATGTTTACTCGTTTCATCTCGATGCGTCACTTTCTTGTTCTCGTTCTCAGATGAGGAATTACTAGGTTTCGTCCTCATGCGTTCCTGCAACGCATCTAGCGCTTCCTTTCGCCTCAAATATTCGGCACGTGCAGCTTCTAAAGCAGAAAGAACCTTCTTTCCGCCATCTAAGATGTCCCGACGATGCTGATCTTCAACGATCTCTCTTGATGTTTTAGGTAATCGTGTTGATTCTGGTTTCTTTTTCGCAGAAGAAGATGATCGTGGTGTTATTTGCCTTCTCGCAGAAGAAGATGATGCGTCTGGCATCACCTGTTTCCTACTAGAGGCAGACGAGTAGTTGTGCTCTTTATTCCTAGTAGTGTGGTCATCAGCCGCGACAACCTTCCCCCCGGCCGGAGCACTAGAATGACGGTGGTAATATGTTGAGCTTTTTCTTGACACAGTAGAGTCAGATTCTCTCTTTGAGGAACCACGAGAAGGCACCAACATCGGACTTCTGCTTATCGCGCTTTTACGCGCACTTGCTGGTGGGGTTGAAGCCCTCACAGCGGAGATTGGTGCAGCAGGTCGTGGAGTTGCTGTAGCTGTAGGTGGGAGCTTAACATAATTGTTCTTATCAGGAGCTGCAAGAATATTACGCTCCTCTTCTCCTGGTAGTTCTAGTACTTGTTGATTTTTAAGAGTAGTTCTACTCTCCTTTTCACGAATCTCACGTCGCATCCGTAATGCTACCGCATCGATACGCGAAGACACTGCTACGCGGACTCGCGAGACTGGTCGAGACGATCGAGGTGCATTCAAAGGTGGCTTTTGTGGACTAGCTGAAACGCTAGGTGCTGGCAGATGAAAGTCGGCAGAAGATCTTTTGCGTTGTTGGCTGCCTTGCCCTTGCTGTGATGGATCATCTACGACACCTGACGAAAGTCTTCGTTGTTGCGAAGACGATGGTCGTTCTGCCTTTGTAGGAAGGTGGAAAACAGATTTCTTAACGTTATGGGAAGTATGATCTGTCGCTTCAACGTTGCCGTTCTTCTTGAGATGTAGTTCCTTGTTCGGCATCCTTCCCTGTCCTCGATCAGCTCCTGACGCTGCAGCACCATCGGATGCATCCTTGTGAGTGCTAGTCGCACTTTGTGACACTACGGACGGCTTTGTAGGCTCCGCAGACGACTCAGCCACCGCTGCACAATCACGACCGGCCGAGACAGCTACCCCACTGCTCCGTTCCGCTGCTCTGGCTGCGTCCTCCTGCAGCAAGCGAAAGATCTCATGTCTCAAAATCGGCTTATTCAGCAGTTCTCGCACATGCGGTCGTCTCTTTGGATCCAAGTTCAAAGCGTCCTCTACTACTTCCACCAACTCTTTCCTCAAATTGCTACTACCTCTAGACGATGTGATCTTAGAGCTGAAGCAATTCCCTTCTTTCTTTCTGCATTTCTCCCCATCGTCCCAAGAACAAAACAGGGTGAGAAATAAATGGCTTGGAGAAATGATAATGAATTGTAATATTGAGCCGTAATAATTCTGGTATATTCTCCCCGCAGTATCTTCATCACCAACCCTCGCATACTCTCGTCGTCAAAAGCGTGTCTCAAGGCCAGCATCTCGTAGAGGCAACACCCTAAAGCCCACACGTCGCTCTTGTAGTCGTAGGGCCTTGCTTGGCAGATCTCTGGAGACATGCAGAGTTAGAGGTTGCGCAGTTACAAGCTTCACATCATCCTTGACGCCCTCTTTCCTATTAGAAGGTGACTAAGTCAAGAATGGTAGTCGTGCAAAAATGATGGATGAGGGAAGGATGCAAAAATTTGGTATAAGCCTTAATAGAAGGGAGTGCCGATAGCGGTTTTAGCGACGTCTGCTGTATGGGAAAGAACTCTCGCAATGCCAAAATCTCCGATCTTGATCGTGTCCCTGGCTGTCAAAAAAACGTTCTGCGTCTTCAAGTCGCGGTGTAAAATCCTTTGGTCGTGGATGTACTTCACCTGTTGCAAGCAATTGCAAATGACTACTTAATCTGTAAGAAAAGGACCAGCATCAAGAAGTGACGTCGCAGCGTGTGAAGTTTCGGGGACTTAATCGGGATATGTTGATTTTCAAAGCTAACTAGCTAGCACCATACCATCTTTGAATAGTAGAGGTCACGAAACGTCGTTCCCGAAGAGATTCAGAATTATACCGCCAACGAAATCTGCGTGAACCATCGCAGAACCAAATTCTCGGGAAAAGGCGCACGAACTTCTTTCTTCTGCCGTCTGATTCGGGAGTACAAGTCTCCCCCTTCAGCAAAGTCCATTACTAGGCACAAACGATTCATGGCCACGTACGACTCGCGGTATCTGAAAATTTTTGATCAGTGTCTGTTCTTGTCGATAAATTTTTGGTGGAGAGATTGATATGGAGGTAGAGAGAGGAGAGAGAGACTGAGGTGGACACAACTGGAATTATTAAATTCTACCGTTTCCTGCACCCACATACTATCAAAAGATCGAAAAATCTACTTCTAAAGAATCACTACAGCGCCAAAGAGTAGCTCATACATAAAACTGTACAACTACATGCAATTTCTTACCTGATAATATACGGATGTTTCAGCTTGTGCAACAGTTGGACTTCCCGGTGAGTGTCCTCCTTTTCCCTTTCCGACATCCTCGCCAAATCCACAACTTTCTGGATAAAATGCTTTTGACGCTCTACTATTCCATTGCTGTTGAAGTCTGGATGTATGAAAGAGGGATTTGAAATGACATGGATCGACGCTACAGGAGGTACAAGAACATAAGCCAATTCCTTCGAACAAAACGAGTTGTATATTTTTGACAAAACAAACCACTGTCACGTTGCAGCGTTCTTTCGATGTTCATCATGATTTATAACAGAACAAGTTGTAACTGTCTGTAGTAACTAAGTACTCTTTTCACGCTAAGAATCAATCACCTACAACCTGCTCCATTCATAATGCCAGAATTTCGGTCCGCCACTAGGTAGCATTTTCCGAAACTTCCCTCACCCACGACTCTTATTCGCCTATACCGTGAGTCAGGGTGGTCCCCACCGCCTGATGCCGGACGAGGAAAAATACTCATTTGGTGGTTGTTGGATTTCTATTTCTAACTATGCTATCTATGTATAGGATAAGTACTCATTGATTCGATGTTTCTTGGATGTAGTTCTGGGAATGTTTTTTCGGTGTAGTATGTACCAATTTCAGGAGTTCTTGATTGGTGCATACCAGAGTAGTTTATAGCACGCACGGAGTCGCATGGAGTGCATCGATCGCATGGAGTGCATGGATCGCATGGAGTAGCATGGAGCTAAAGGGGGAGCTTCTTGCGCCCCTTAAAGCTCTGCGCTCCATGCGCCATGCGTGCTATAAACTACTCTGGCCCTATGTACCAATCAAGAATTCCTGATTGGTACTATGGCATAGTTTAGTGTAGTATGTACCAATCAAGAATTCCTGAAATTGGTACTATGGCATAGTTTAGTGTAGTATGTACCAATCAAGAATTCCTGAAATTGGTACTATGGAGTAAGAGCTGCAACGTCTAGGCAGTTTTCCTTGTGGGACAGTTGCTTGACACTTTTTGCATTTCTTCTTTCTTCTATCGTGGTCGTGGGTTCGTTCATGTTCGGGGGTCGCTCACGCAGCTCTCAGGGTGGTTATTACAATTTTCACATGAGAATTTCAAAGTCTTCGGAGCCCAGCGCTCCCAGAAGGCCCAGCGCACTAGCTGGGGTGGGCGCAGACAGAAATATTGACTTTCGCGGAGACAGAAATATTGACTGCTACAACACACTTTCACCTTGATTGTGACCAGAATTGACAAAGATTTGAGCAAGGTGGACACGGACAGAGCACTTTTATTAGAAGCGATACGTTATGTCGTAGACCTCGGTTGCGTCGTAGACCTGTTCAAAGTACAATTCGAACACCGTCGAGGACGATGGCCAAAAAGCGAGGGAGAGACAGACCTCTCCTGCTTCCAAAAACATCAATATGCAGAATCGTGGTACCTACAATCTTGTTGACAACGAAGTCCACTATTTTGTCGCTTATAAATATCGACAATATATTGGCAGAGTCTGTGAAGAACGTGGGCGCTCTTTCGGCCACACGGTCTTCCTGCGGGCCCGTTGTACAGAGATAATAACATCAAACCTCATCTGTAGCAAGTTTGTGGGCAAGAAAACTAGCAAAACAAAAGGAAGTCTTTTCCTTCTCCATCTTAGCAGGTAGATAGTAAGGAGATCAAGCCGCGTAGAGAAGTTTGTGACATGACCGTTTGATCATTTAGATCGGAAAACAAATGAGGTTGCACTGAGAAAGAGTAAAATCAGAAGGAATTCAGGTTCTTGGTTGCATAAAAATAGACAGGCCAAGATTGACGACCAACACCAGGTTGCATGAGATTAAGAGATCATCATCGAGAGAGAATTTTAATATATCAAAAAGACGAATAAGACATGTTGTGTGTATCTATGTAGTTGGGCGGGAAGAAGTTAGCATAATATGCCTGCCAATAATATGCGAGGAATTTTAATTGCGATTTTTCGGAGCAAGAACATCAAATGCTTATTCTATGTGTTTCACCAGAAGATCTTGCCATTAATTGAGTAAGGAGAATAGAAAGACGACTACATGCAAAAAGAGTGAACATAGGGATATAGCATAGGTGGCAGCAGGGATCGTTATTACATTAGGCATCATCAACATCTTCTGATCTAATATCGCTGTATAATCATTTTAGTGGGCAAATCAAAATATAGCCATCTTCTATGCACAGTTGTATCATTTTCATCATCTAGAATATTCTCAACATTTTCCTGCCTGAAGTTATTCACATCAAGTCTTAGTCTAGTAATTATTCTTGGTCTCTAGTAATACTATTGACGGTTGCAAGCATTGACATTGTTAGTTATCATTCATCTCATACTCATTCTTAGTGCATTTGCATGGGTATGCGGGCTGGACTGTGAGGACGCCTTTTGCAGTTTTCACGGGACTGCGAAATTCCGCTATGATTTCCTGCGGGGTAGGAAGGGTCGTAGCAGATGCGGAGATGAGCAATTAGAGGGACGGGAGAAGCAAGCTTAGATAAATTAAGAGAAAATTGAATTCGTGTTTTTTTTTGGAGACAACTTCCATCGATAGAAGATGTAGATGAGTCGTCGGGACCTGCAAAATCGTACAACTACTGGTACTGCATGAAGGGAGAAGCCTACGAATCAGAGGGAAAGCGAGCCGGTTGCTTTACTTTAGTGCTTTAAGCGTCGCCGGACCTATCAAAAGTTCCTGCTGACTATGTACAGGAGGACAATGAACTATCTATTCTACGTCTACAACTATCTACTGCAGCTGTACAACTTGAACTTTACTCTTTTATCATCCACGAGATTCATAAGGGCGCCTCTCCACATACAGCTTCAAACTTCGAACTGAGCAGCTTGTACCAGTAATTTGCCAGCGCAACTTCAGTTGGCTCATGTCCGTTAAACTGCTAGCTCTGTTTTTGCTTCTGGTACATGACACGCCATCTGGCAACCAAGGCTTCGCCTTCTCTACGAGCTTTCTCGCTTCTTGTCTTCCGACAGAATTCGTTCACGGCTTTGCCTTTTCGTTTTTGGATGTTGGGCAACTACTTTTTCTGGAAGCTACTTTTTCAAGCTTTGTATTGTTCAACGTACTACTTTTTACTTTGCGGTAAAGTCTTTTTTCTACTCCAGAATATCACTATCTTCACTGGTTGTACTTCTACTTTCTACTGTAATGCACTAGTTGCCTTCTTCTAGTCAGTGATCAGGCACTAGCGTCTTTGCAACAATTTGTGTGCAAACATTGTGCTTTGTCTGTCTTATTTCCTTGATGAAGTCCAACGCACAGGTACCACGAACTGATGTTTTATACCAAGCAAGGATGCTCGCAATTTTTCGACTGTCATTGGGAATATGGTCAGTCGTCGTAGCCTCTCTACAGCCTCAGCTTCTGACATAGAGCCACCCTGCTCTGAGAATGTCTTTTGCATCTCTTGGAGGTCGACGGGGCCACCTGTTGAGATGGGATGAAAAAGAAGGTTCGATCTCGTAATATCTCTGCGCCTCAACACATAAGGTGGTACAACTACTTCTTCCAATTCTAAATATCTTGTAGTTGGCCAAGATCAATACACAAAATTTTCTATCGACGTATCTAAAAACCACCATTAAGTTTAAGTATGAAAGAGAGTAGTATAGCAGTACTAAAACTCGGTCCCGCTACTGGCTGCATGGATTCGGGTGATATTGGTGGTGTTTTTGGACCTAGCTTTTCCGAATTTGGGACTGAGCCAGACTTGGCTTTTGCTGCCCACTGTTCGGGAAATTTTGCCTTGAAATCTGACCTCGTTTTCACAGTTATGGTAACTGTCGGGACACCAGTGATGGGTTCAAAGTCAATAGACCCAGGATCTATGCCATAGCCTTGTCTTAGAGGTTACGAAGTTACATTCCTCGCAGCCTTCTCCTCTTTGGCTGCTTTTCTACTAGCTAGAAAAAAGGCCAAGGATGGCTTAGTAGTGGGAAATGTAATTTGGTGGAAACCCTTAATTGTTGCATCCGCCTTCTAAACTCCTCTCGCTGAGAGTTTGAAGCTAGAGGTGATTCGTCCAGTCGTTTGGCGACAGGCCCAGAACTCAGTTGACGGTCGAAATCAAGCGTGTTCGTTGTGAACATCTGAAAATATTTGCGAGGGTGACGAGGAAATAACCATATTGATCTGCATCCTCATACATCATCTTCTTCTACAATGACCCTTTACTCCAAGTGATCCTTGCAGAAAGTTTCCGCTGTCGTACTCTATGTATTAGCAAGAGCAATTCCCAAAGCAGTCGAGTAAAATTCTAAGTACCCATTTCTTAAACTCCCTCGCCGCATCAGCTGCTGCATGATCCCGCTCAGAGCTACTGCTTGAGCCGCCATGCTGTTCCAGTAAATCCCAAGTGGTCAACGGTGCACCATTCAGGCCACGACGTCGCTTCTCACCTCCAGAAGACTTGCCGCCTCCAAGCTTTGTTCCGTTTAACGAGGGGTTGCGGATGATCTGTTATAAGGCAATGACGTCAGTACTGAGTACTTCTCCAGTTGTATTAATAAAAAAGATGCGAAGCAAAAGTAGTTCTTCTTCAGAGTCCTGGTGAAGATAAAATAGCACCGCCAGTATCTAAGAACGTCTTACATCCAACTCTCGTCTCATCAGTAGAACTACTTCTTCCCCTAAGAACGTATTACATCCAACTCTCGTCTCATCTGTAGAACTACTTCTTCCCCTAAGAACGTATTACATCCAACTCTCGTCTCATCTGTAGAAGTACCAAGTCCGTTTCCACCGCAGCTGCAGGCCTTCTCGTTCTTTTGGTTGCTCCTGCCGCTATCGATGCCATTGCAGCACTCAATGAGGCGTCTACTTGTTCTAATTCTTCTTCATCTCCCTCCCATGACCAGGTGACTGTCATGCCAGACCCACTAGTAGCTTGCCATACTATCTCGGAGCTGCAACTCCTTTCCGGCACGGCGCGCCAACCTCTCATCGCAACAGTGTTGCCGTCAGCAGAGAGGGGCAAGGATACTGTTGTGGTTGGTGGACGGTGAAGCGAGTAGAATTATGGAGCTCGTTTTTTTAACCATGAGGGTTGGAGTAGAGGTTTTAACCATGAGGGTTGGAGTAGTTGGTTTTTAATCATAGAGTGGAGGTTTTTTTCTTAATCTTCCTGAGGGTAGTTAAGTATTTAAGTACATTTCCCTAGTTTCGCCGTCGCTCCTCGAACGACGACGCGACCAAGAGTTCGATTGGAATGTAACCAAACTCCGGTTAAATCCTCTACAGCGATCGTTTCCAAGCCATCGTCTGCCATTTTCGTGGCTAGTCTCTTTGGAACTGGCTTGTTGTAGAGACGAGAAGTAGCTGTTTGGTCGCCTCAATGTCGCTCCTCGCGTCAGATGTCGCACTTCTGGAAGAGGTGTTGTATCCTCGCTACAGGTAGTTGTCGCTTGCGGTTGTCGTCGTGAACAGTGTTGGAACGAGTAGAAGTGTCGTTAGTAGTGGGGGAGTTCGCGTCGAAGTCGCAGGGGCTCAAACAGCATCGAGCTCACGGGTGCGTTCCTCGTAAAAAGGACGTCTCAGTCACACTTGGAACAAAAAGCACTAGAAATAGTATGCAATTCCAGATTTCCTGTACTAAAAATGACACAGGAAACCCGAAACACCAGCAATGAATTAGATAATCCCGTCAATAAAAACCAAGATTGATGTACTACCAATTCGTGCTACTTCTGCCAGATGCAAAAATCTCGATTCCTCAGAAGTCCGTTATTCTAGTCTATGTGAATCGACACCATCAATGAACAATTTTTCACATCAACAATGCAGCTATTAGATAACAAGCACTGGAGTATTAGAAGGTGAGGTGTCCACAGGAGTTGAGAAATGTGAAGCTCTCGTGAGGAATCATGCTGGGGGATTGAGGACGCAGCAGGATGTTGCGTGATTGACAGTCATCAAAAGTTGGATGTCATAATCTTGTTTTGTCACCTTTTCTAAGCATTTTCTTTTTAGCAGAACGACGACTACAAGCGTTTATAATATTGGAAGTGGTCTCAACAACGTCGCAAAAAAATGATCACTTGTTCATCGGGATAAAACAAAATTGAGATTCATTCTACAGGATATAGAGCTATTCGTTCTTGATTTCAAGGGAGTTGTAACTAAGATGAATCGTGAATGAATCTTCTCAACGGCATTTTTAGGATTCTCATCGCGTCTCGTGGACCTGGCCGTTCAGCGACCGATCCTTCACTCAGACACTTACTAGAAGCACGGAAATGGCTCGTTTTCTGACCAGGAAATGGCTCGTTTTTTCACGGGTAAGGAGCATGAGATCATCATGATCTCCCCGAATCGTAGTTCTAGTGTTGCTTCTGAGTAGACTCCATACATGTGAGCAGAACTAGCAAACCAGAAGGTTTTGATCACTTCGTTTGAGACTAAGGCCATCGATGAATCCTTTTTATCGTCCAACTTCTCGTTGTAGTGTGTATCATGATGTAGGCTGTCCTACCAATCGAGAAGAGGCTTTGCCTTCTTTTGTGAAAGCATTTCCGTGACTACATCAAGAACTCTTATATGAGGAAAGAGTCCTTGATGTCGTCTCGGAAGAGGCTCCTGCAGGAATTACTTGTTAGTTTTTTGTTGCCTTCTCGCTACTCGTGGTTGTACCAGTAAACATACTGGGACGACTACCAAGCATTACAGCTTACCATGCAGACAATGGCTTACTTTCTGGGCAGATCTTGCCTCGAACCTCCCTTGTGGCATCGAGATGAACGATGGGCAAAAAACCGAGCCTGCTGAAAACGTAAACTTTTCGTAGACCACATTGAAGATCTTTTGTTTTTGCATCGTTTGGCGTCGGTTAGTGGTTTCATCTGTACCGTGTTTCATCAATTTGCATTAGCTTCTGTACATGACAACATCATTAGCATCGGGGGCCAACTGTATTTCATTTCATCGTCTTCTTCGTTTCTCTAATATGGTTTGAACTTTGAAGTGAGTCTTTTTGTACTACATATGTATTACTGCCAATGACTAAATAGAGACTCCGTGCTGAGCTCAAAGTTGACGCTAGTGATCATTTCATTTCATTGCATTGGGCGACGTCGGCGGCCCTCGTCTAGGCTCTCGCGTTTTCTTTTTTTTTTGCACATTCATACTCTAAGTACTAATGACAAGCTCCCGCAGAGTTTTGATCAGAATAACATTATGATTCAGAATGCTGCCTGACGTGAATCACATAGCTTATAATACCAAATGACTCGGTAACAACATTAGCACAAAAATTTCTTGGAACATTTACGCTTTGCTCGGCCTCGACAGTAACCAGACTGAAATGATAGATCACTCACTGAGACTCGAAATCCCCACAAAAAACCATTGACTGCGAAAAAAAATACTGGGACTAATTAGTATCCTTCAACTACGTATACAAAAATGAAGTCCTGGATCTTCTGAATGATAACAAAAATGACTGTTGAGACTGCAATAAACTTCTAAAACTATCTATCATAATAATTCTCACCCAAAAAATAACTATAACTTGAGCCACTCCTATAAGCCACTCACATAGACGAGCAGTTAATTTCACCAGTGAGTCGCTTACAGTATCATTTGCTTGGAATTTTTCTATCACATTTATTTGACTATAACTCTATATATGACTCCGGGCCGAAAGGCCCCCCCTCCCCCCCTGCGGTCTGGTCTGTGGTGGCGCGCCCGCGCGCTTTTCCGCGCGGATTTTTCGCGGATTCTAGTGGCGGAAGGCCTCAAAACTTGGCGCCTTCCTCCCCTTGGGCCTCTCAGCGTGTTCCTACGGGCCACGGTCGCAAGAGCAAGCAAGCCGATGACCAAGGGCCCGGAGGGTCCCGGCGGCACGGCTCAGGGGGTTCAGCCCCTCGCCTTTTGCCGTCTTCGGAGGCCTTCCGCTGCCCGTGCACTGCTGCCATCTAACCCCTCAAGTCTGTAGGGTACATGCAAACGAGAAGGAGGCAGCGAGCCCCTTGGCCCCCCTTGAGGCCTTCCACCTACTTCCCAGGCCTCCAGGGGCCACAAAGCTCGGCCTTCCACCTACTTCGTAGGCCTCCAGGGGACACAAAGCGCCTGGAAGGGACCGGGAATGGCCCCTTGGCGCCCTTTTGCGGCCTTCCTTCCCCGGCAGACGCCTCAAAAAGGGGTCCAGGGCGCCCGCCCCCCCCCTAGCGGGGCGTCGCCCCGCGCCCTGGAACATATATAATGATTTGGGACCTGAATTGCGACATCAGATTCCTTTTCTGACTAACTTCGTCGTATCTCGCTGGTATCATTCATAAGCCAAAGGAAATCATAGATAATTGACTACCAGGAAGTTGTACAATGATAATTGTCTGCATTCTGATAGTGCCTCTGTTTTTCGAAGTCTCTAGTTGTGTTACGAGTACCTACAACTAGCTACGTGAACAGCAAATTCTAGTACAAAAAACTAAAACTTCATGCCTATAGTCCCCACACCTAGAGCCTCTCCGCTGTACAATTAAGTAGGGTCTCTTTACCTATAGAAAGACCCTCCCCTCCCCATCTTCTCTACCAGGAGTTCCTTCTCTTCTATCAGACTAGTAGTTGCAGTACTCTCTGTCTATGTCTCTACACCAGTCTTCTTCTCTTATTAGACTGGTAATCTCTATCTCCGCACAACACCAGTCTTCTATATTATAAGACTAGTTCGCACACCACCACTCAGAAACAGAAGAATGACACTCAAGGACATAGAGAACAAGGATGAACAGAAAACAGAGCCAACAGGCAACTCGACAGAAAAATGATGGAACACATCACTCATGCCCGATCCTCTTGGAGAAGATTCAGACTATTACCCACACCCACTCCACACCAGTCTTCTAGTAGTAGACTATTTCCCACACCCACTCTACACCAGTCTTCTATAATATTAAGACTAGTGCCAGTCGACTCCTACAGCATTCCCCTCTCGCCGACGTCCGCATCCGCTGGAACCTCGATCAGATTCGTGCTCGCTAGCATGTCCTCAAACACGTTTCTAATGCGATCGATCACGGTTGAGACTGTGGCGTGTGTTAGAAGAGGTGGATCGAAATTCCCTTCGGCATACAACTTGTAGTTACATCTACTTTGAAACTATGTGTTTGGAGGAGATTGCTCCACTTTGAAAGAAGGACACTACTTTGAAAGAACAAGAAGATGAAAATGTACTAGAGCAGACCTAGGACTTTTTAAAGTCAGTATTTCTATGGAGTAAGGATAGGATAGGATAGGATTTGATTCACCGTCCACAGTGAAGAGGACTTCCATCATTACTAAAAAAACTTAAACTAATGAATGATCTCATCAGTTTAACCCTTCATCTGTCTGCATAAGTCCCATTCATCCGGTGGTAGGATTCCTTTGCCATTCGAAACCTGCGACACTTCCATCATGCTGGTAACCGTATCAAACTCAGCCTGTGCCGCTGCTGTCACTAGACCAGCAGAAGAGGCGGAAGGTTAGAGGGTGCAGAAACTGATTGAAGCGTGCCACTGAAGTAACTGACTGAACAAGCGTGCCACTGAAGTAAAAAGGGGAACAACCATTAGTTTGTAGTATTAGCAGCTACAGTGAAATATGAGAATCAATAAGAATAGTGCAGCGCTTGATGAGCTGAAGCAAGAAAACTAGACCACGGAAGTAAAAATTATGGTGACTACTTTGTGGTTCTTTAGTGGTGGATGACGTGTAGTCCCGAGGGCACAGTGAACATAAGTCAGAGAAAGCAATCAAAATCATCATGTTTATGAAGGGAGTAGCAGTAGCTAGTGGTAGTAAGTATAATGAATCATCATCATCGATCTTCTACTCTACTTCTAATGTCCATAATCAACATGCAAGCCTCGAATTGCTACTTTTCCTGTGGTCGATCGCACTTCTATTCCCCAGATTTGACGTGCTGGTCTCAGTAGAATGTCGGTTCCAGTGTTAGAGATTCCCCCCCCGGTTCCAATCGGCCAAACAACTTCTTCCATCTGCGAGTCGTCGCCGTTGCCACCTTTCCATTCATTTTAAGTGACAATTAATCATTATAAATGAGAAGATGTGGATGTGCTGGTCGTGCTACCATAATCATAATCGACGTAGCTTCTTCTACGAATCAACACGAATACTTACGAATCAATACGAATACTTTTTACCAAAGTATGATAAAGTTCAAGTTTTTAGTACCACTGAGCAAGATGATCCTCGTTCCAGGGTCGTCCAAATGCGGAGCTACGGCTGCTTGTGGCAAGTCGAACAGCCTTATTCTCCTCACTAGTCGATACGACACACCATCGCCTCGTAGGAGAGATTAGATAACGGATAGGGAACCTTACCGCACTCTGGCAACATTAAGTCTACTGCTTTTCAATCGAGTTCAACACTTTATCGATGTTGCATTGATTTTGACTCTTTGTTCTCTTTGTAGTTCGGAGTAAGTACAACATGTAGTACAAACATCTGCTACTGCTCATTATGCTCATGGCCTTAATCAATGCGGAAGTACTGTGGCGCAGCGACTGTGCCTCCTTTTTCCGTTGAGAAATAGAAGATTCCTCTCATCATGTGGTGCTCCAGAAGGCTCATAGATGTTCCCCCAGTAGATTCTGACTTGACATGTGCTACAGTTATACTGCGATTCTGTGTGCTCCTCGTTGTTCTTCGGTGTTGCTCGTCAACATCTGCAGCGAGCAGTGGTGGGGAGCAGTCAGGACATGAAGATGATCCTCGAGGAGACGTTCTATTTTTACTATCAGCAACACTATTCCTCGCAGCCCTACTAGCGATAGATGCAACTGTAGGACGGTTCAGGGGAACAACGTCCTTTTCGTTGCCTCTTGGAGCTGGAAGAAGCTGCTCGAGCTCGCCACCAAGACCTGTTCTACTACTCCTAGTCCCACTGGTGCCCCTAGAGCTAGACTCGTCGAGTATAATTAGTGGTGCAGGCTTTTGGTGTTTCTGTTCCCATTTCTCCTTAGCAGCTTTTCATCTCCCTTAACATTAGGAGCGAGAGCCATTATAAGTAAAAACAAACGGTAAAAACAGGTGAAACACTTACTAAAGCTGCTGCCTTCTAGGAGAAACACCTACTAAAGATACTGCCTTCTACCCTTAAAAGTACTCTCCTACTCGCTCCGTCCAACTGAGCCCTTTCCTGTAGCAAAAGATAAGTTTCCGCACCACTTCCACTCGAACTAGACTCAGGTAGAACATCGGCATCTGCATTACTCATCACGCGACTTGCTTGCGTCTGATTGCCACTGCTGATATTCACTCCGTTCGACAGATCTGCAGGCCGAATACGCTCCCCCAGTAGAAGATACAAGGCTTCGGAATCCGATTTCTTGCCGTAGGTGGGCTGGAACCATTAGAAGAGGACGGACCGCGGTGAGTAGAAAAAACACTGCAGAGAAGAAACTAGAACTTGAACAATTTACTGCGCAGTGCTTCATCTTCCAGGAGAATGAGAACATCAAGTCCTCAACCTCGTAAGTACACTGGAGATGGGACGTTGCTCGCCTCGAGGAGGTGAGCATTCACGACTATGAGAACGCCGAAACTGATTTTACCTTACTAGACCGAGCTGTGCTTGAGCTGCACGCGAGGCCCGACCTGTCTAGGAAATACAGTCTATAGAGTACACTTGATAACTACTTCTACTTATAACTACGCAGGGTTTGCACCACCAGATGATGGAGAAAGAGTTCCACAACCTTCTAAGCAATCCCTTAAGTGCAGTTGGCATGAAGTGTGCAGCAAAGCGAGTCTCTGTCCTGGACACTACCGTTCCCTGCGAAATAGGCAGTCAGATCCAGCGAAAACGCGGTGCAGTCATCGGATCGGAGACACGCTTCCTCACAGAAATATCGAGATACAACAGCTCCTGCGGCGTCGAAGGTTCGAGATACATACTGTGGGGTTGAAAGGGCTAGATCTCTAGAGGTAAAAACTAACTACTTTTAGTTTAGTCTATATAAAGTGCTTTGAGCGCCGCTGGACCACCTAAACCTCAACCTTATTCTAGAAAGGGAGAAGCCAATCAAGGTGTGCTAGAAACACCTCAGAGAGACGGGGAAAATCGAAAAAAACTGCTTAAATAGGATGGTTGAACAAGCTGTTTTATGAACTTCTTAGAGATACATAAAAAAACCACAGCCGTTAGACTAAATATAGTAGAGTCAGATGAGCGTTTTTGGAATATCGAGATGATACACGCATCCAATAATATGCTGTATGATTTGATTCAAAAACCCAATCATAATCCCGGTAATCCAGTGTCCATCGAACCACGTGGACGTCCTGTGCACGGGCCTCGTCGCGCGAAATAGGCTGCGTCAGTCGCGGATGGACAGGCATAACCTGTCGAAAGACGTAGAGAGTTAGAAGTAGTAGCTGCTTCAGAATATGAAGAATACAACATGGTCTACCTCTAGCCTCAGCGACAGGGATACTAGATCTTCTCTGAGCAGAGTGCCTTGAACTTACACTTTTATCTAATTCCAACTTAAGAGCACACTGAATCTGAACGAATCATGTTGAAAGACGAATAGCCCATGTATAGTACTAGTATCTATACATAGATACTGAATACACTGTAGTATACTCAATACACTGTAAGAATAAAATGGGTGGAGCCAAGCTAACTAGGAAAAGAAAAAGGAAGGATAGTAGGTAAAAGACACTGTAAGAATAAAGAATATTCAATATTGGATACAGTAAGATCATAAATGAAAGATCTCCATCACCGGAGATAAGTGGGACTAGCGGAATCGCACTCTTCGGCTTTGCAGTCGATGTCACTTCTGGCTGTCGTCGTTAGAGAAGGATTGAAGTGAGAAGGAACCTCGATTGACATAGTTAGAAAAGGATTGAAGTGAGAAGGAACTTGTTCTATTGAAGACAAAACATTCTTGTTTAAACAGTAGTTTTCCGTTCTTCATTTTCCCAATTTTTATTTGCTTTTGAAAAATACCGGTACGAGAGGACTCAGAAGCAAATTACTGAGAAGTACTAGCAACAAGACTCAGAGAAAACGCGTTATTTAAGGCTTCAGGTAATCCATCTCCAGAAGCATCTTGGGACCATCCTGTAAGAGAAAAGCAAGCCCAGGATGCCACTCAAGATGGAGTCCAGGAAGCTCTATAAGTTATGGTGTGTTCTCGGTGTGATTTCGGTAGATTCATACGGGTTGGCTAGCAGGGCTAGTAGGACTAAGTAGAGCCATAAGCAGTAGTAACAACAGGACCAGCAGAAGTCGTGGTAGACGAGTCGTCGGCGACTGTGACACCAGCAACAGACGAGGTGTCCACCGTTACTCCTGGCACAGCAGAGGCAATATTACTTGCTAGCGACGAAACTGTTAGATGAGTTTAGGAAATAGAACATCAGGGTCATAATCTTGGTTGCAAAGACGTCCATGCAAGTACTTCTGGGACACAAGTCCATCTACTTCTGGGACACCACAAGTCCATCTACTTCTGGGAGAGAAGTCCTTCTGTAGAGCTTACTTTAGCCTTGCCTGAATTCATCTTCTTGGAGAGCATGATCTACCTGTGAATTGATTGATTCCCATCCCGAGTACTAGTGTCTTAAGGCTAGCGAGGCAGGAACGGAGCCAACTGGCCATGCAGCATTTGCTGCTGTCGCGTTGGCTGCGGGAACAGCTACAGAAACTTGAATATTCATGGACACCGGTGTACCACGTTTTTTCCTGTGCGTAGAGGACTTCGCAGACTGCAGTGTAGAAGTTGTTCCTTCAGCACGACGTCCAAGGTTCAGGAAAGCGGCGCCTGTGGTGTATGAAAGAATAGCGTTTTTTCCCTCTAGGCCGACCACCGTGTCACGCATGCATCTCAAGTGATCTTTCTCGATCACCAGCGAGATGAAACGAGTGCCAGGATGGTCCTAAGGATGGAAAAAGCATCATCCATATGGTAGAAGAACTATCCTCCTCAACGGTGACCTTCATATCCACCACATTCGCGACAGGCACACTCAGGTGGTCGGCAAAAGTTTGCTTCAACGCAGCTAGAGATTAGAGCCTTATAACTACTCTGCTCTTTCTTGTCGTTCTGCTTAATAGATTCCTAGTGGATGTTGAGTGCTAAAGCTGGTTGACTTATGATGATGACCTATGTATTATAATTCCAGAGCCAGAATTCGTCATGTTTTGTTAATATATAAGTGGTGAAACCCAGTTTAGCGGGCATGATCTTCTACTTCTCACTGGTGTAGCTATCAGTTTAAGAATCATCATGTTGTACTTCTCCTTCTAGCCTTAAAAGATAGACGCATTCTTGGCAAGGTCTGAAATATCGGTGCCATCCGGAACCGTCATCTTTATCTCCACTGCGCGAGTCAATATTATAGTCGTCGCCTGTGCCGCGGTGGTAGACAACGGTGCTGCGGTTGTAGACATCATGGTACCTACTGCTGATGTCGGCGACGTCTTATTAGAATGTGGTCTCGAAGTGTCACGTGAAGCTTGTCGGTAGTTTTCTCTGCAAGTGTCATACTATGAAGGTTGTTGTCGAGGTTGAGGTTGAAGCTAGCACCTATTACTTGTCTAGTACTTCAAATAGAGACGAAAGTCTTAAAGAAGATGAATCATGATTGCAGTGACTATCTGAACTTACTATCAGTGACCTGAAGCTATGTTGACTACCTGGTGCTATGGAGCCCTGGCTTCAATAACATCTAAATATTAATGTAGTTATTAGTTTGCTAGAGACGTTAATAGACTGGTCGTAAAGGTTCCTGCATCAGTTGCCGGGAATGTCGAGGTTGCTACGACCGAACTAGCAACAGCCGTAGTTTCGTTATGTGTGCTAGACGTTTGCTGGCCAGCTGCGGTAGTAGCAGTGCGCGTGTGCTGTGAGATTATGACATTCACATCATCGGTGCTGTCAGTCGATGGCCCGGCGCTCCCCGCTCCAGTCGATGCGCTAGTCGCGCTTGCGCCACCAGTAGTCCCTGCCGTAGATGCGTCCGCAGCTCCGGTCGATGCGCTAGTGGTCCCTGCCGTAGATGCGTCCGCAGCTCCGGTCGATGCGCTAGTGGTCCCTGCCGTAGATGCGTCCGCAGCTCCGGTCGATGCGCTAGTGGTCCCTGCCGTAGATGCGTCCGCAGCTCCGGTCGATGCGCTAGTGGTCCCTGCCGTAGATGCGTCCGCAGCTCCGGTCGATGCGCTAGTGGTCCCTGCCGTAGATGCGTCCGCAGCTCCGGTCGATGCGCTAGTGGTCCCTGCCGTAGATGCGTCCGCAGCTCCGGTCGATGCGCTAGTGGTCCCTGCCGTAGATGCGTCCGCAGCTCCGGTCGATGCGCTAGTGGTCCCTGCCGTAGATGCGTCCGCAGCTCCGGTCGATGCGCTAGTGGTCCCTGCCGTAGATGCGTCCGCAGCTCCGGTCGATGCGCTAGTGGTCCCTGCCGTAGATGCGTCCGCAGCTCCGGTCGATGCGCTAGTGGTCCCTGCCGTAGATGCGTCCGCAGCTCCGGTCGATGCGCTAGTGGTCCCTGCCGTAGATGCGTCCGCAGCTCCGGTCGATGCGCTAGTGGTCCCTGCCGTAGATGCGTCCGCAGCTCCGGTCGATGCGCTAGTGGTCCCTGCCGTAGATGCGTCCGCAGCTCCGGTCGATGCGCTAGTGGTCCCTGCCGTAGATGCGTCCGCAGCTCCGGTCGATGCGCTAGTGGTCCCTGCCGTAGATGCGTCCGCAGCTCCGGTCGATGCGCTAGTGGTCCCTGCCGTAGATGCGTCCGCAGCTCCGGTCGATGCGCTAGTGGTCCCTGCCGTAGATGCGTCCGCAGCTCCGGTCGATGCGCTAGTGGTCCCTGCCGTAGATGCGTCCGCAGCTCCGGTCGATGCGCTAGTGGTCCCTGCCGTAGATGCGTCCGCAGCTCCGGTCGATGCGCTAGTGGTCCCTGCCGTAGATGCGTCCGCAGCTCCGGTCGATGCGCTAGTGGTCCCTGCCGTAGATGCGTCCGCAGCTCCGGTCGATGCGCTAGTGGTCCCTGCCGTAGATGCGTCCGCAGCTCCGGTCGATGCGCTAGTGGTCCCTGCCGTAGATGCGTCCGCAGCTCCGGTCGATGCGCTAGTGGTCCCTGCCGTAGATGCGTCCGCAGCTCCGGTCGATGCGCTAGTGGTCCCTGCCGTAGATGCGTCCGCAGCTCCGGTCGATGCGCTAGTGGCTCCTGCTGTAGATGCGTCCGCTGCTCCGGTCGATGCGCTAGTGGATGTGCCCGCGGCCGCCCCCGCGGTGGTGCTAGACGTTTGCTGGCCAGCTGCGGTAGTAGCAGTGAGCGTGTGCTGTGAGATTATGACATTCACATCATCGGTGCTGTCAGTCGACGGCCCGGCGCTCCCGGCTCCAGTCGATGCGCCAGTCGCGCTTGCGCTACCAGTGGTCCCTGCTGTAGATGCGTCCGCAGCTCCAGTCGATGCGCTAGTGGCTCCTGCTGTAGCCGCAGAAGTGGACGTCTCAGCCACCGCGACACCCGCAACAGAAGTCGTATCCAGCGTTACCGACGGGTCTGCCGCAGCGACGTTGCTGGCGAGAGCAGCGGCCAGCGTGCTGGGCGTTGATTTAGATGAGCTAGTTGTTGATGTCATGTGTGCGTCTCTATGGTGCTGTCCGTGGCACCCGTAGAGACTAGTTCTGATAGAGAGTGAGCGATGCCGAAGCCAAGACGCTAGCATATTGAATACTCCCGTCAAGAAGATGCTTGATTCTGATTGTTGATCTGGCGCAACAAATCTAAATTGTGGTGGAGCTCCAAAAAAAACAGATCTACTACTGACCTCAGGATTATATTGTAGATAGACGAGATGGACATGGATTGTTGAAACTTGTTTGCCTCTTAACTGATCCAGCTGGCCACGCGGCGTTAGCTGCCGCTAGGTTGGCTGTAGGAACGGCAACAGAACCTTGAACATTCAGCGAAACAGAGGTGCCTCTTCTTTCTTTCTGGTGCTCTCCCGAAGTGCCTCTTCTTTCTTTCTGGCTCTGCTGCTTCTTTGCTCCCTTACTTTTGCGTTGCAGGGATTGGAGCTCACCCTAGTCCATCTCGAAGTCTAAAAATATCCTGAGCCCGTTCATCTCCCCTTGGAACAAACGGGTCAACGACGCTTCCAAGAAAGATGGATCATTAGGGGGAGCCTTAAAGGGATACCACATGGCGAATATTACGCTTCTTCTGCGATCGGAATCGTCTTCCGGTTGCTAAAGGGTTTTGGTTGCCAAGATCTTGACGTCCCAAGTTCAAAAACGACTTTGTTGCGCTTCCATTAGACTTCAGCATATTTTTTTCAGTAAGTAAGTAAGTAAGTAAGTAAGTAAGTAAGTAAGTAAGTAAGTAAGTAAGTAAGTAAGTTTTGCTCACTGTTTGTGTCGGACCTAGTGTAGTCTTTCATATCGTAATTTCTTCCTCTGCAACGGTAACCTGCATATTGACGATGTTGGCAACGGGGACATTCATTTGGCTGGCAAATGTTTGCTTCAATGCGCCCACAGGAGTTAGAAATCCCTTCTCTAGAAAAATCTGAAACATCAGATAGCCTATGCATCCGCAAGATCTAGGAGTGGAAAAGTCGGAACAACAAGCTATTCAATGCTATAATTCATTGGAGGGAATGAAGTCGAAAGTACTTAGAACAATCCAATGTTATCTGAAACTACTCAATGTTAACTAAAAAACCAGAAAGGCTTAACCTCTTGGAAGACCGCTTATGTTGACTGAGACTTTAGGACTAAAAGAAGCGGACTGACTACGAAAAATACTGACCAGACGTCGCTCTCATTTTGACAAATCTGAAAGGAGCGAGACGCAGACGCATTACTTATACAGACAGGAGTAGTTATTGGAAGAGACGGGCTCCACTGGAGATAATGGAATCTTTTCCGCTAATGAAAAGAAACGGGGAAAATGGTAATCAATATCACGCTCTTAGTTACCTATTACTAACTAAGCGCCGGTGCTATTGTAGTATTATTAAATAAGTACATAGGTCTGAGAGCAGAAGCCTTAAAATTGTAGCGTTCTTTGCGAGATCGTTTGGGTCGGTTCCATCTGGTACGCTTAGCTTCATACTCACCGCTCGGGTCAGCACAGCTGTTCCTGCTGGAGTATTCTTAGAATGTGAATGATGAATTCTTGATGTACTTGTACTACAACAGTAGTACTAAAAATAACCCTGTTCTTGAAGTCAATGTCCTTGGAAAAATATTGCAATGAATATGTAAGTATAGCTTTAGTTTCCAATCGGTTTCAGTCACGAAGCTATAAAATAGGGGAAAAACTAGCAAGAACTATGGAGCAAGCAGTGACTGCCATAAGAGTTGTCGATGAAGCTACGGGCAACGACAGCACCGGTACGACCGCTGCTCTCGACGTTGTAGCCGGTGCGGCCGCTGCTGTCGACGTTGTAGCCGGAACCCCAGCCGCTGTTGTCGACGTTGTAGCTGGAACTGCCGCTGCTGTCGAAGTTGTAGCCGACACGGCCGCTGCCGTCGACGTTGTAGCCGGAACTGCCGCTGCTGTCGACGTTGTAGCTGGAGCTGCCGCTGCTGTCGACGTTGTAGCTGGAACTGCCGCTGCTGTCGACGTTGTAGCTGGAACTGCCGCTGCTGTCGACGTTGTAGCTGGAACTGCCGCTGCTGTCGACGTTGTAGCTGGAACTGCCGCTGCTGTCGACGTTGTAGCTGGAACTGCCGCTGCTGTCGACGTTGTAGCTGGAACTGCCGCTGCTGTCGACGTTGTAGCTGGAACTGCCGCTGCTGTCGACGTTGTAGCTGGAACTGCCGCTGCTGTCGACGTTGTAGCTGGAACTGCCGCTGCTGTCGACGTTGTAGCTGGAACTGCCGCTGCTGTCGACGTTGTAGCTGGAACTGCCGCTGCTGTCGACGTTGTAGCTGGAACTGCCGCTGCTGTCGACGTTGTAGCTGGAACTGCCGCTGCTGTCGACGTTGTAGCTGGAACTGCCGCTGCTGTCGACGTTGTAGCTGGAACTGCCGCTGCTGTCGACGTTGTAGCTGGAACTGCCGCTGCTGTCGACGTTGTAGCTGGAACTGCCGCTGCTGTCGACGTTGTAGCTGGAACTGCCGCTGCTGTCGACGTTGTAGCTGGAACTGCCGCTGCTGTCGACGTTGTAGCTGGAACTGCCGCTGCTGTCGACGTTGTAGCTGGAACTGCCGCTGCTGTCGACGTTGTAGCTGGAACTGCCGCTGCTGTCGACGTTGTAGCTGGAACTGCCGCTGCTGTCGACGTTGTAGCTGGAACTGCCGCTGCTGTCGACGTTGTAGCTGGAACTGCCGCTGCTGTCGACGTTGTAGCTGGAACTGCCGCTGCTGTCGACGTTGTAGCTGGAACTGCCGCTGCTGTCGACGTTGTAGCTGGAACTGCCGCTGCTGTCGACGTTGTAGCTGGAACTGCCGCTGCTGTCGACGTTGTAGCTGGAACTGCCGCTGCTGTCGACGTTGTAGCTGGAACTGCCGCTGCTGTCGACGTTGTAGCTGGAACTGCCGCTGCTGTCGACGTTGTAGCTGGAACTGCCGCTGCTGTCGACGTTGTAGCTGGAACTGCCGCTGCTGTCGACGTTGTAGCTGGAACTGCCGCTGCTGTCGACGTTGTAGCTGGAACTGCCGCTGCTGTCGACGTTGTAGCTGGAACTGCCGCTGCTGTCGACGTTGTAGCTGGAACTGCCGCTGCTGTCGACGTTGTAGCTGGAACTGCCGCTGCTGTCGACGTTGTAGCTGGAACTGCCGCTGCTGTCGACGTTGTAGCTGGAACTGCCGCTGCTGTCGACGTTGTAGCTGGAACTGCCGCTGCTGTCGACGTTGTAGCTGGAACTGCCGCTGCTGTCGACGTTGTAGCTGGAACTGCCGCTGCTGTCGACGTTGTAGCTGGAACTGCCGCTGCTGTCGACGTTGTAGCTGGAACTGCCGCTGCTGTCGACGTTGTAGCTGGAACTGCCGCTGCTGTCGACGTTGTAGCTGGAACTGCCGCTGCTGTCGACGTTGTAGCTGGAACTGCCGCTGCTGTCGACGTTGTAGCTGGAACTGCCGCTGCTGTCGACGTTGTAGCTGGAACTGCCGCTGCTGTCGACGTTGTAGCTGGAACTGCCGCTGCTGTCGACGTTGTAGCTGGAACTGCCGCTGCTGTCGACGTTGTAGCTGGAACTGCCGCTGCTGTCGACGTTGTAGCTGGAACTGCCGCTGCTGTCGACGTTGTAGCTGGAACTGCCGCTGCTGTCGACGTTGTAGCTGGAACTGCCGCTGCTGTCGACGTTGTAGCTGGAACTGCCGCTGCTGTCGACGTTGTAGCTGGAACTGCCGCTGCTGTCGACGTTGTAGCTGGAACTGCCGCTGCTGTCGACGTTGTAGCTGGAACTGCCGCTGCTGTCGACGTTGTAGCTGGAACTGCCGCTGCTGTCGACGTTGTAGCTGGAACTGCCGCTGCTGTCGACGTTGTAGCTGGAACTGCCGCTGCTGTCGACGTTGTAGCTGGAACTGCCGCTGCTGTCGACGTTGTAGCTGGAACTGCCGCTGCTGTCGACGTTGTAGCTGGAACTGCCGCTGCTGTCGACGTTGTAGCTGGAACTGCCGCTGCTGTCGACGTTGTAGCTGGAACTGCCGCTGCTGTCGACGTTGTAGCTGGAACTGCCGCTGCTGTCGACGTTGTAGCTGGAACTGCCGCTGCTGTCGACGTTGTAGCTGGAACTGCCGCTGCTGTCGACGTTGTAGCTGGAACTGCCGCTGCTGTCGACGTTGTAGCTGGAACTGCCGCTGCTGTCGACGTTGTAGCTGGAACTGCCGCTGCTGTCGACGTTGTAGCTGGAACTGCCGCTGCTGTCGACGTTGTAGCTGGAACTGCCGCTGCTGTCGACGTTGTAGCTGGAACTGCCGCTGCTGTCGACGTTGTAGCTGGAACTGCCGCTGCTGTCGACGTTGTAGCTGGAACTGCCGCTGCTGTCGACGTTGTAGCTGGAACTGCCGCTGCTGTCGACGTTGTAGCTGGAACTGCCGCTGCTGTCGACGTTGTAGCTGGAACTGCCGCTGCTGTCGACGTTGTAGCTGGAACTGCCGCTGCTGTCGACGTTGTAGCTGGAACTGCCGCTGCTGTCGACGTTGTAGCTGGAACTGCCGCTGCTGTCGACGTTGTAGCTGGAACTGCCGCTGCTGTCGACGTTGTAGCTGGAACTGCCGCTGCTGTCGACGTTGTAGCTGGAACTGCCGCTGCTGTCGACGTTGTAGCTGGAACTGCCGCTGCTGTCGACGTTGTAGCTGGAACTGCCGCTGCTGTCGACGTTGTAGCTGGAACTGCCGCTGCTGTCGACGTTGTAGCTGGAACTGCCGCTGCTGTCGACGTTGTAGCTGGAACTGCCGCTGCTGTCGACGTTGTAGCTGGAACTGCCGCTGCTGTCGACGTTGTAGCTGGAACTGCCGCTGCTGT